TCCCATATCAAGTTTATTATTTAAAAGCAAAATAATAGATATTATCAAAATTTAAAAGCAAAATAAAAACAATAATTAAGTAGGGGATTTGGGGATGGAGCCCCTTTGAAGAAATGAGAAGGTATGGAGGTTCTAATATGACAGGGTAAATATTTCTTGATTCAGTTTTGGATTCCTCCTTTTATTTTCATAGATGTTTCCTCAAAATTTTCAAAAAGATTTTTAGATAATTTTCATATTAAGACTACACAAATTAACAATGAAAGGAATTGCATGTAATTTTGATTCATAACATCAGTGTCCTTCTCATTATTTAGAATATTATACTATCAGTAAAAAAGAGATAATACCAGTATCATTAATTCTCAAATATGTTATTTTTTAAATTTGCATCAACACTCATAAATTCAGTAAAATCCACAAAAATTATTTAACCTTTTTGAGATAATTAAATCTTAAAAGCAAACTAAGCACACCTTAAATATGACCGCATCCCATAAAGAATTTTTCACTTTGGAGTTGAAATAATTAGGCATTACAGAAATATCAGTAGTAGAATGTTTAGTAGAAGTTAAATTACTTGGGCCATATGTATCAAGCCACTGTTTGTCAAGAAAGATGTTATTAAGCTTATAATTCAAAACCATAATTTGTTTAAAATGACAGTACATAGATTAAATATGGTTTTCTCTGAATTGAGAACTAATGTAAGTAAAATTAACAGCAATTATTTTATTTGGAATTCTCTCATTTCTAAATTCTTTTTTAAATTTGTTTTGTGTGTTATAACTGTACAAATGGGCTCTTAATTTTCATTTCCTCCAAAATTCACATAGGAGTTGGGTGTAGGATTAATTGTAACACAGTGCTTAGTCTTTTGAGCACTCTTTCCTCAATGGATATCTCAAGTTGCCAGTCTTAAAATCCCAAATACTTTGTTGAACAAACTACTTGTTCATACAGGAGCTGCATTGTTGTATAGCCTCATTCCTTCCCATGGGTGTGGAGCAGGATTAAAGCACACTTTATAGGGGTTCTAATTGTAGATGCCTAATTGACTTGATGAATAGCAAATGCTAAAATTTAAACACACACATACATATACACACATAAACCTGTTTCAAGGCTGATCTGCATGACAGAACAAATGCCTCACAGGTGTTGAATGCTTACAAGATAAAAGAGTAGTCGTTCCATATTTCCTAAGAATTTTCTTTTGAAGTTTATATGGATTTTCTATCTTATTGTTTCTTTTTTTAATGGTTCTTGGCAAGAATTCATTTTATCTTTGGGTGCACTTTTCACTTCTAAAGGCAGACCTGAGTTTTAGCAGTCAGCCGAAATTAAAAAAGGAAAGAAAATCTGTCAAAAAGCAAATTTTCACGTACTTTGGGAAGGGAAGAAGAGCATTAAAAACTGAGAACTGTAGTCTTTGGCCTAGTAGGGTCACAAGTCCTTTTCTTAATTCTTAAAAAATGATGTGATGTTTTGCTAAGTACTTTCAAGGTCTCAAGAGTTTTTTTTATCATTACCTGATAAAGAAAGAAGCTTCTCAAGCTGGGAACTTGACAGCCAAATAGAAATTTTTTAAAAATAAAAATAATAATCATAATAAATGATCACACCAGTTTTCTTTAACATTCTTAAAAATTTTTCCCTTTACTATGTATATTTTAACAGTGTTCCAACTCGCTTAGGACAATTATTTTTCATAATTTTTTAGCTCTTTATAGATTTACATGTAATTGTAAGAAACAATACAGCCTGGCCAATATAGCTCAGTGATTGAGCATCAACCTATGTACCAGGAGATCACATTCTTCGTCAGGGCACATGTCTGGGTTGTGAGTTTGATCCCCACAGGGGAATGGAGGGCATTTAGGAGGCAGCTGATCCATGTTTCTCTCTCATCATTTATATTTCTCTCTCTCTCTCTTCCTCTCCCTTCCTCTCTGAAATCAATACAGATATTTTTTTAACATTTTAAAAAATTGATTTCTGAAAAGAAGGGAGAAGGAGAGAGAGATGGAAACATTAATAATGAGAGAATCATTGATTGGCTGCCTCTTGTACACTCCCCTCACCCCCCACAGTGGGGATGGAGCCCACAACCCAGGCACATGCCCTTGACTGGAATCCAACCCAGGACCCTTCAGTCGGCAGACCAATGCTCTGTCCACTGAGCCAAACCAGCTAGGGCCAATAAAAATATGTTTTTTAAGAAATATACCCTTTACCCAGTTTCCCCCAATGTTAGCATCTTGTATAACTGTAATGCAATATCACAACCGAGAAATTGACATTGATACAATCTGCCAATCTTTTTCAGATTCCATCAATTTTACTGCACCTACATGTGTGTGTTTGTGTGTATTTAGTTCTATGCAATTTAATCACATGTATAGATTCTTGTGACTATCCTCATGCCACCCTTTTAAGTCCCTAGCACTTTCTACCCTGTTTCCCCGAAAATAAGACAGTGTCTTATATTAATTAATTTTTTCTCCCAAAGTTGCGCTAGGTCGTATTTTCAGGGGATGTCTTATCTTTCTATGTGCTAGGTCTTATTTTCGGAGGATGTCTTATTTTCAGGGAAACACAGTACTACACTTCCAACTTCTGGCCACCATAATCTGTTCTCCATTTCTATCATTTTGTCATTTTAAGAATATTATATAAGTGGAATAATATAGGATGTACCTTTTGAGATGGACTTTTATTTTTTATTCGCCATAATTTTCTTGTGATCCATCCAAGTTGTTGCATATATAAACACTTCATTCCTTTTTATTGCTAAATTGTACAAGATTGCACCACGGTTTGGGATTTTGTTTGTTTTTTTGTTTGTTTTAAACAACTTGTGCATTCAAGGACATTTGGGATGTTTCTTGTGTTTGGCTATTATGACTGAAATTGCTGTGAACATTTGATTATAAGTTTATTCATAACATTTTATTTATTCAAATTATAGGCCATAGAAATGAGGATAAAATGTATCAATATCAGGTGGATATTTCCTAGAGGTGAAATTATAGGACAAAAGTATAATGCAAAAAAAGTTCTCCAGAGTATCTGTTTCCCCCCCATAATATCTGGTTTTCCTGGCATGATAACATTTCACTTGGGTTGATAAGAAGAGGTGATGTCCATATCAGTATCTTTGGACTTTTAACTCCATCCCTAGTCAGCACCATGGAAGGAGAAATGGTAGGGAAATATTTAGGTGTATTTTTAAAACTTTTATTTTTATTAAATTATGTGGTTCAAACAATAATAAAATTAAACAGGTAATGAAAAATCTTGTTCTTAGACATGACAAATTTATAAATGTTTCTATACACATTATATGGAAAACTTTTCTAAATATTTAACACTAGAATCCATAAACTACCAAAGACAAATAGTAAACTTTACTTTTTTCTAAATCAGTCAACTAAATAACTATTTATTGGAAACTAACTCTGCCCCAGGTAAAATAAATTCTTGAGTAGAGATAGACTTTTTAAACTTTGTAAGCATTGTTTTTAAAAGCAAAAAAAATATCCACAATTGGCAAAATTATAGAACAGTAAATAGATTGATTTAGGTATTAGAGAAAGTACACACAGAAGCTTTTCCCTTTTTCTGATAATCACATTGCAGCAAATAGCACAGAAAAGCCAAACAGTTTAGTGTTGCTAAATATAATTAATATTTTTATTTAATTTTAATAGCTGTATATTATTTCATTAAGTGGTATACCATATTTTACCTAAACATATTCCTATTTGAAGTATTTTATATTGCTATAAATTGTTGTTATTGTTTTTGTTAATCCTCACCTGAGGATATTTTTTTTATTGATTTTAGGGAGAGTGGGAGGGAAAGGAGAGACAGAAAAACATCTATGCGAGAGAGACACATCTATTGGTTGCCACCCATACACACCCTGACCAGGTCTTGGATGGAGCCCACAACGGAGGTACATGCCCTTGACCAGAATCAAACCTGGGGCCCTTCAGTTTGTGGGCCAGCCCTTTATCCACTGAGCCAAACCACTTAGGGCTACTCTTCTTTATGACTATGAGTTTCTCTGTAATTTGTATTATATTCTTAGGTTAGAATCCAATATGTAAGATACTGATTTTTTTTAAGTCCTGCTACATATTGCTAAACTGCTTTCCAAAAGAATTGTGTCAATTTATAATATCTCCAGCAAAGTATGGTAGTATGGTTTTATAATGCTTTTATCAACCTTGGGTATTATAATTTTGCTAAGTAATTTGTTTTGGTTTGGATTATACTTAGTTGCTAGTGATGTTGGGTATTTTTTATGTTCATTTAATGGCTGTTTTTCTCCTTTTAATTATTATTTCTAAAATTTTGAAATGTCATTCTATTTTGCCTATATATTCCTTACAGTTTCAATGCCCACAACCTGCTTCCTTCACAGTAACTATCCAATTTCTATATGCAGTGGTTTTCTCTTGTTTTGTGTCAGACTCAATTAAAATTAAAAATAGATATAACATATCTTGAGTTAAAACACTAGTGCCCTTTAAGTACTTCTCATAAACAACTTTGCTTCTAGTCCAGGACTTCCTGCCACAATCTGTTTTAATCCCAGAAGACTTGAGCCTATATAAGCACTATTTCTGTTAGCAAATATATAGGCTGTGTCAGAACATAGATCTTCATTTATACTGAACATCTAATTCAGTATAATTACATGCTTAAAAAGCAAATAACTCACATTAGGTGAAGAAAATTTCCTTCTAGTTGACTATCATATAGTAGACTAAAAGCAATAACTTACATGTATACTTTTGTGACCTCGGGATATAATGTAAGTAAGGGAAATAACTCTCTTCAAACTAATGGGACCTGGCTCATTATTCAGAGGCCAGTCTCAAGTGACTTATTTAGTGTAGCATTCGACTCATAAAACTTTTTAGATTAACTGCTTTAGAAATGGTAAACTATATAAATAAAACAATGTTTTTCCCCATTTTATTTTTCAGGTTTACAAGTAAAAGTAACCAAACTGAAAAAGGAACGAATTTTGTAAGTATCAACATATAACACTAAAGTCTTATTTATAAAGTAATTGATACTGATGTCCTGTTTGCCTCAGTGCCTTATTTATAAGGAAATTAAATTTGCTTAGTGTGACTAGTTGACAGCAAGTTTTTTAAACTTCCAAAGTAAAAAGTATAACTTGATTTTTAGTGTAGTCTTATAGTTAATATTTTCTTATATTTATATTTTAATACAATTTTGGTATATAATCTTTTTTCCATTAAGTATTTATTAAGATGGGAAACTATCTGTAAACTCAGTTTGATCTGTCAACAGCATTCTTTTGTCAACTGTGATTAACACCTGGAATTTGAAATACTACAGGAAGGGAAACAGAATAGTTCTGGGATTTCTAAGCTCATATAAGAAATGGGAACTAGCCCTAGCTGGTTTTGCTCAGTGGATAGAGCATCAATCAACCTGCGTACTGAAGGGTCCTAGGTTCGATTCCAGTCAAGGGCATATGTCGGGGTTTCGGGCTCAATGCCAGTGTAGAGCATGCAGGAGGCAACCAGTCAATGACTCTCATTATTGATGTTTCTCTCTCTCCTTCTCCCTCTCTCTTCCTTTTAGAAATCAATAAAAATATATTTAAAGAAATGGGAACTAAATATTTTACATTCTTTTTAATTGGTTCAAAGTTACCAGTGGTTCTGAATTATTTTGGTTGTTAAGCCCAGAATCAGATCTGATTATTTAAGTCAAGAGCAGATTTTTTACTCACGGTACTATAGAGCTTCCACATTCAGGAACCTGAAACAGGCATATAGTAGAATATTATCCCTTAATAACAAAATGAATGTCATTGTGAATGATATTGCATTTGCTTTATGGTATATACCAGTGGGTCTCAGTTACTTCATATTCCTAAAGCTTCCAAGGCTTTTGCCAAAAGCTAGAGTTTGCCACGCACCCATCAAACACACCTAGTTGTTTTTGCCATTATAATCTGAAAATGAAAATTGCAGTTTTCTTTATACCTAGAAAGTCATGTTAGAAGATGATTTAGATTCAAAAACATAAAATCATAAATTTTTTAAACAGTTCTTTTGAAGAATAATTTTATGATTCTCCTTAGTGAAACTTGAAAATGTTTTTTCATTGTTGAAAGTGTATATATGTTCTTATCTTAAATATTTTTTTAAAATTTTTGAGTTTTTTAAATTGATGCGGGGCGGGGGGGGGGGGAGAGACATCAATGTGATAGTGAAAGATCAATGGGTTGCCTCCTATCTCCTATATGCCCCTGCCCCTTCCTGCATGGATCTGGAGAGCATTATGTTAAGTGAAATAAGCCAGGAAATGAAAGAAAAATGATCTCACTCATTTATGGAAAATAAAGAACATTATAACCTGATGAACAAAAAGATTGATACAGAGGCGGTAAAGCATCAGACTGTCAGATTACAGCGGGAAGGCTGGCGAGTGTTGGGGAGGGGAAGAAAGAGATCAAAGGACTTGTATGCATGCATTTAAGCACACCAATGGACCAAGACCCTGGGGGGGAGGGTAGGATGAGGGCATGCGACAGGGGGTAGGGGAAGCTGGGGGAAGGTCAATAGGGATATATGTACTACTATATGTAATGCTTTAAACAATTAAAAAAATAAAATTATAATGATAAACAACTTAAATAGAATTTACTATGTACCAGCACTGTTCTGCATGCAATATACACAGAGAGTGTAGGTTGCACCAGGTCACATAGCTAGTAAATGACAGAGCTAAGATTCAAATTTAGGAATCGGGTTCTACTCAACAGTAAGCCTTGGCTTAAAAATAATACCAGGTAGAAATTTAAGCAACACAGAAATTAATAAAATAGAAGGTATAAATCCCCCATAACAGAGATAGAGAAATGATTACATTAACAAATGTAGACAAAATAATAAAAATAGGTAAGTGTACATTTTTGTTTGTTTGTATTTTGACAATATGGAATCTGGTGGCATTACAATTCACTCCATCTATGTTCCATCATTGTATAATGAATGCCTGTTATTTAGGCATAATACTTCTGTAGTATAAAAAATACTGCAGAGCAAATTTTATTATAATTTGAACTCTGATTAACAAGATATTCAAACCTTACCTTTAAAGTTACAGTCAAACCTCAGTTCTCGAATGTCTCCCATTTTGAACAATTTCATTCTTTTTTTTTTTTTTTATAAGCCTCACCCAAGGATATTTTTCCATTAATTTTTTTCGAGAAAGTGGAAGAGAGAGAAAGACAGAGAAAAACATTGATGTGAAGAAAACACATCAATTGGTTGCCTTCTACATGACCAGGGCCGGGGAGGAGCCTGCAACCGAGGTACGTGCCCTTGACCAGAACTAAACCTGAGACCCTTCAGTCCGCAGGCTGACTATCCACTGAGCCAAACTAGCTAGGGCCAATTCCATTTTTGACCAAGTTGTTCATGTAAAAAATGTCTGTATTGTTGACCAAGCTTCAGTTCTCAACTAGATAACCTTTCCATGCTGAGACATCAATATGAAAAAAAGCACTTCTCAGGCCACAAAGGAGAAAATGATAGTTTACATCTTTTTGCTTTTGTTGGTGAAATTTGAAAACATAAAGAGGCTACTAAGCGCTAATGTTGCTTAGGGTGTGAAAGAAACAATGATCCCAGGTAAATGAAGAAATAGAAAAACTGTTGGTTTGGATAAAAGCAAAGCAGTTAGCCCGTGATAGCATTTCCAAGGCACTGATGTGTGGAAAAGCAAAGATGTCTAAGATATTCGCATGCTGGTTTTCTGAGACTCCCCTGGAAGGAGTGCTGAAAGTGATTCCTTTAAGGTCAGTAGGGAGTGGTTTGATAAATTTAAAGAAATATTTATAGATTAAACAGTACTTTAGACATGTACTGTATATAAGAAAGGTTAAAACAGGGAATCATTTGGGGGTCTGAAACAAATTAATTCAATTTACATCATTTCTAATGGGGAAAAATAATTCTGTTTTCAAACAAATCGCTTTTCGAACAGCCTTCAGGAATGAACTAAGTTTGAGAATAGAGATTCCACTGTATTTGTTTTGGTACAGCAAATTCCTGATATATGTAAGTGGTGAGACCATACTTCGGAGTTCTTATGACAGAATAATCCTGTTAGGATATTTTTCCTTTAAAAAAAAAACACAGACAACTTATTTCTTGACTTTTAGAGATGCACAAAGACTTGAAGAATTCTTCACCAAAAATCAGCAGCTGAGAGAGCAACAGAAAGTTCTTCATGAAACCATTAAAGTTTTAGAAGATCGGTGAGTCTGGTTCTTGGGTCTTCTGAGTAAGAGGTGATTTTTTTCCCCCCTTAATAGAAAGTACAATGGTTTTAATTTGTATTCAGCCCTAGGACTGAAAGTGATTTTTTTCCCCAACCTTATGTCAACTTTGGATGAATAGTTTGAATTAAGGATATACTCTTGCAGTGCTTGTTGTGTTCACTAATTACAGCAATTCTTTCTAGTATCTTCTGATCTTTTCTTCACTTTATGATTTCGAGTTTGGGCTTCCAGTTCTGTTATTCTTTGAATTTCCAGTTCTGTTATTCTTTGAATTTCTTAACTAAATTTTTCTTCTCCAGGCCCATTCTGAGAAAAATGTCAGTAGATGAATGTCCCTACCTTTCCCACTGAAGTATTTTATAAATTACTTTCTTATTCAGTTAATATATTTAACTGTGAACATTATCTTTTTTGTGGAGTTTCTGGATTGGTGAACATGTGGAGATGTGGGGAGAGTATTGTACCCAGGGAGAGGAAAATACATATATATATATTATTCTGCATTTTTTAAAATTTTTATTTAGTGATTGGGAAAGAGAGAAAAACATTGATGTGTTGTTCCACTTACTTATGTATTCATTGGTTGATTTTTGTATGCGCCCTGACAGGGGATTGCACAAGCAATCTTGACTAATCAGGATGATGCTCTAACCAACTGAGCTGCCTGGCCAGAGCTATTCTGCAGGGGTTTTTTTCCTATTTTTTATGTATGGTCACTGATTTCCTGTGGATATCCTCCTTCTCTGCTGTTTCTTATCCTAAATGTTCTCTTGCCTTTCATTCTCTTCACCTTTAGGTTCTTAAGTTAGGTGGACCTATAATTCATTATGTGGTATTAATTTGGTGGTGGGAGTAGGGGGTGGGACAAAGAGCATAGTTCTTTTATTTATATATATATATATATATATATATATATATATATATATATATATATATATGCCTTTTCTCTCCTTCAAATACAAATCTGAAATTTTCTTTTGGGCTTTCTTTAAGGTTTATTCCTTGTATCATGAAGCCTCATTATAATTAAAACAAGAATGACCTAGATCTGCCCATTATTGTTTTAGGAAGGAATTGATATGTATTGAGGGCCCACTTTGGGCCCAGCACTTAATCTTCACATTAACGCTATAAGATGGATGGTAGATCCATTTTACATGTGAGGAAACTGAGTTGGGAAAGAGTTCTTATGGTTTCATGATATCTTGTTGGTATGCTGTCTTAATTTTATAAATGAGTAAATGAATTATACTTTAACTGGTTATCTCACAGTATTTGTGCTTGACCTAAAGTTACCAAGACACATACTCTGAAATCGTTTTCCCCATTGTCTACTACTATCTAGTCTTTTTTTCTAGGAAGTTGTTTTTTTATTATTTTATTTTTATATTGCTACTAATTGAATACTACCTTTAAATGTCTATGTAGGTAACATTTGGCAAAATTCTGCCTTATAAAATTTCATTTTAGTTTTATATCATGTAAGAATGTCTAGAGCAAGCTTTTTAAGTCTATAAAACAATGTTTTTCTGAGACCTTAAAAAAGCAACACATGCCTTGACTGGTTTGGCTCAGTGGATAGAGAGTCAGCCTGCAGACTCAAGGGTCCCGGGTTCGATTCCAGTCAAGGGCATGTACCTTGGTTGCGGGCACATCCTAAGTAGGGGGTGTGCAGGAGGCAGCTGATTGATGTTTCTCTCTCATCGATGTTTCTAACTCTCCCTCTCCCTTTCTTTCTATAAAAAAATCAATAAAAATATATATATATTTTTAAAAGGAATATGTATTTTGTTAAAACTTCTAAATAATTCTGAAACTTGCCATCTACTCTTCATAAGATGAAGTGATTCTTATGCTAATGTTATAAAAACATAGTGAGATGTTTAGATGAAAGTAAATTACCCAATAAAGTTAAATTAGATAATAAAAAGGTCTAATTTTTGTGTGGCTTGTTTATGTTTTACCACTATTATTACATTTACAAACTTTTCTTTATGGAACCAAAGTATTTCACTAAATCTAAGTAACAGTTACTGTGCTAGAAAAGTAGATAGAAGGCATTTTCTTTAAAAAAAAAAAAAAAAAAAAAAAAAAAATCTGAACAAAGCAGTTAAACCATAGTTGTCCAGTAGATTTTAATGTTTTTAAAAGCATTTTTGGCAGTCATGAGAAGCTCCTATTTCACCTGTCATAAAAAGGGAAAATTGGTACTCATAATCAGAGGATTTGTGTTTCTGAAACTATTTTTCAAATACTGAACCAAATATTCTCTTTTGTCTTGCTGTCTTTCTCATAGATTTGAATTTAAACATCATATTCTTTAGGAGATCTCTGACTTCCTAGACTAGGTTAAATTCTGCTATGTGCTTTATACTTAACTAGAGGCCCAGTGCACGAATTTGTGCACCAGTGGGGTCCCTCAGCCTAGCCTGCGGGATTGGGCCAAAACTGATTCTCTAACATCCCCCAAAGGATCCCAGATTGCTAGAGGGTGCAGACCAGGCCAAGAGACCCCACCAGTGCATGACTGGGGTTGGGGAAGGACCGCAGGAGGATTCCAGGGTGTTTTTGGCCTGTTTCACTCAGTTCCGATAGGCCAGACCCCAGCAGCAAGCTAACCTACTGGTCGGAGCATCTGCCCCCTGGTTGTCAGTGCATGTCATAGTGAGCAGTTGAACCTTAGCATATCATTAGCATATTATGCTTTGGTGGGTAGAACAGAAAATCCAGTCAGCCAGACACTTATCATATTAGGCTTTTATTATGTAGAATAGTACCTGTATTTTTTCTGTCATGATATAAATCAGACTTTGTTGTAATTACTTTTTTATTGTCTGTTTTTCTCTAGCAGACTGTTACAAAGCCTTTAAAATAAGTAACATTATGTTGACCACCCTTGTATTTATAGTACCTACAATACTAATGGTAGATATTCAGTGAAACCCTTTTGAATGAAAATAAATAAATTTGCCGAAACCGTTTGGCTCAATGGATAGAGTGTCAGCTTGGGGACTGAAGGGTCCCGGGTTCAATTCCGGTCAAGGGCATGTACCTTGGTTGCGGGCATATCTCAAGTGGGGGGTGTGCAAGAGGCAGTTGATCGATGACTCTCTCTCATCGATGTTTCTAACTCTCTCTCTCTCTCTCCCTTCCTCTCTGTACAAAATCAATAAAATATATTAAAATGGTCTTTCTTAAAAAAAAAAAGAAAGAAAGAAAGAAAAGAAAAGAAATAAATTTAAGGAAATTTTGGGAGATATAGAAAGCAATTGTGCATACTTGTCAATCTGGTGAGTTTTAATTCCAAAATAAGTTATTATTTTTTCATTTCTGTGAACAAGCTGGGATAAAACTCAGAACATATGTTGCTGTCTGTTCTTAAAAGTGTAATTACTCTTCTTTCCCTTTTTCCTATTTACCTGCATTCTCCTGTGAAAGTGAGGCTATTTTTTTCTTTCTCTGACAGCAACAGTGGAGGATAGGCAAGAGGAAAGCAGTGGAGCCCTGCTGATGGAAATGGGAGCATATTTTCTCACATCCATTTAAACTCAAACTAGGACCAGTGAGCAATTAGGGGTTGACTCACAGATATTATTAAGAGTGGCAGTTGATTGAAGAAATCTGGAAGTAATAAACAAGCCAGGGAATATTGCTTTATTTTATAACTGTGTCAGTGGCATTTTTAAACTTGGAAACTAGGGGTCCTAAGGGATTGTTTTTCATTATACTTTATAACATTTTAATATATCAGATATGATTTCTTAGAAACAATAAGGTGTTTAGTTTTTAATGGCAAACTGGCTAGTAGAATGACATTTAATTAATTCATTAAAATTGGTTAATGCAGTTTAACTCCTTCAGTGTTTTTCAGAGACCTTTTAATGTCATGTGATTTTTGGCTTCTAGAAATTGTCATTCCATTAATGCAACCTTTGATTTCTAACCTTTTTTATATCCTTATCAAATCGCTGTTTATGAGTTTTACTTTTATATAAAAAAATCTCTAGGTTCTTTTTGTTTGTTTTAGTTGTATAGTTTTCATATTTTATTTCCTTTTTTAAAAAAATTAATGGTCTATACTACTAGGCTCTGGCTTCCTTAGACACTTAAATGCTTATTACCTTATTCATTTAGATTATTGAGATGAAATTTTTTTCTAAGAATATATTTCCTAAGTTCCTAATGTGGGTCATATGTCTTTTTTAACTGTATATTTTCTGATTATATAAATGAAATGAGGAAAATTTTGAAACATATAGAAAAATACTAAGAAGAAAATCTCCTATAATACTATACCTGCAAGATAACTATTATTAATATTTTGGAATACACCTTTCTCTCCACGTTCTCCTCTCCCCATGTACTATATGTATTTTTCTCTGTTCTTTAGCACTCACACATAATTAATAAAAGCTATTTGTAATCATTTTTTGTTTACATAATAGTGCATTGTGAATTTTTTCTAACACTGGGTGTTTGTTTTTTTAATACTGAAGGGAACAAAATATGAGGTGATTTAAAAAAACTTTTTAGTTCCTTAATCTTTAGTATTGATTCAACTAAAAATGTTTTTGAGTACTCATTAGTGTTATGATATGTGCTAAGCAAAGCAAATGCAAGCTTGCTTAAAATATAATGCTGCCCCTGAGTATTGTACTGGCATATTTTGGCTATAATATATTAAAACAAGGTTAGGTTCTTCAATAAATAAGTTTCCTTGAAAAGAGTTTGAATATAGCAGATTTTTTACAGAATTTTGCTCAGAATTGCAATCTGTAGAAAGTTTTATAGCATGATTTCAGTCTATTTGAGAACTTTTTAAAGGTATGATTATATCATTAAATTAGTTAATTTTCTCTGTATTTGCCAAGTCAATTCTTTAATTCTTTATAAAGCAAAATCTTGGAGTTCAAATATTTAAAAATTATTTTAGTACTTAAAAATTTTTTTTTTTTAATTTCAGCTTTATTGATGAATAATTGGCAAAAAAAATCTTAGTGAGTTGACAGACATATACATTGTGAAAGAATTCCCACCCTTTGGGGATAACACATCCATCACTCACTTATTTACTTATTTTTTTATGAAAACATTTAAGTTCTATTCTAAAAATGTTTTGGTTTTGTTTCATAGATTAAGAGCAGGATTATGTGATCGCTGTGCAGTAACTGAAGAACATATGCGAAAAAAACAGCAAGAATTTGAAAATATCCGGCAGCAGAATCTTAAACTTATCACAGAGCTTAGTGAGTTTTCTTTTTCTTTATTAAGTATAATGTACTATTGTTAAAACCTATTAGTAAGTTAGTTGCAACCAAATAAATGGATTGTTTACATATATTTTTCGTTATTTAGGCAAAAGTTCAAATGTCCTTCCTTCACTTTGTATAGATTTAATCTCGTGATTATTTTAGTAAGAAATACTTACCAGGCCAAAACCAGTTTGACTCAGTGGATAGAGCATTGTCCTGCAGACTGAAAGGTCCCAGGTTCGATTCCGCTTAAGGGCCTTGGTCGCGGGCACATCCCCAAGGGGCGGGGGGGCAAGAGGCAGCTGGTCGATATTTCTCTCTTATTGATGTTTCTAGCTCTCTATCCCTCTCTCTTCCTCTCTGTAAAAAAGTCAATAAAATATTAAAAAAGAAATACTTACCAGAAGTATGTGCACATACTGACCACATTGGCCTTAAAGTCTTACCAGATGTAAGACAAAGAAGTATATGTCCATATTTGCTTCTTTAGTTTTATTTTTATTTTGTGTAATTTGACTATTAGTAAACTTAAATACAAAACAATATAGTGTTCTACAAAGGTGTATACTTTTTTTGTTTTCATGACATACTATTACAAGTATACCATTTTCAGTTAGACTCCTTACCCATTTAATATAGGGTTTTCTTTCATTCCTAGCTTTTTTCTCTTAACCGTTTTCTATTCTAATACCTCTCTTAACCTTTTTTTTTTTTTTTACCTATTTTTATTTTTTTAATATATTTTTATTGATTTCAGAGAAGAAGGGAAAGTGAGAGGGAGATAGAAACATCAATGATGAAAGAGAATCATTGATTGGCTGCCTCCTGCACACCCCCTACTGGGGATCAAGCCTGCAACCCTGGGCAGGTGCCCTTAACCGGAATTGAACCTGGAACCCTTTGATCCATAGGCCAATACTCTATCCACTGAGCCAAACAAGCCAGGGCCCAAAGTTGTTATAAAAATAAAAACACTTAAGGGCTTCATGTTTATGAATTTTTGGTGTTTTTATCTTATTGCTACCTTTTTCTTCCTGTCCTCTCTTTCTTTTTTTGTTCTTACTCTTCCCAGTTATTGAATTTGAAGGATATTTGATTTTCTTTTATTTCATTTTAATTTGATTCGTTTTTGGTTTGTACCTCCTATTCATTGAAGATAAATGTCAGGGTGGTGCTGCTTGCTTTTGGATACACTCTTAAGTGTCACAGCTTTAATTTGATTCTATACTGGGGTTTTCTGTATTGTTTTTAAACATGTATTTTTATTGATTTTAGAGAGAAAGGAAGGGAGAAACAGAGAAACATTCATCTGCTGTCTCCTGCATGCCCCCTACTGGGGATCGAGCCCACTCCAACACATGTGCCCTGACTGGAAATTGAACTAGTGACCCTGACAATACTGGCCAGGGCTTTACCATTGTTTTTTTGTTTTTGTTGTCTGTTTTTTATATTATAAAATATTACGTAGGCCCTCCTTTTCCCCCTATTAACTTCTTCCAGCCCGCTCCTGTTCTCCCCCATCATTTTTTAATTCTTATTTTTATTCTTTTTTTATCAACTCATTTAACAATAGCCTAACTTGTCAGTGTTTTCTTCTCACTTTGATATATATAACTTATTAAAACATCAATCCTCCCTTATTCATCTGTGAAAATAACTTAATTTTTAAGATTAATTTTAGACTTCTTAGCCTGCTTTTGAAGGCTTTTTATCATTTATTATACCCAGTCATTCTTTCTAACTTTGTTCCATTAATTTTCTGCATAGAATAATCACCTATCCAATTCATTTGTCCTCTGTGGTGAATTTTTTTCTGATCTCAAGGGCCCAAAACAACCTTTTTCTCCTTCAAATTTTCTTTAGTACTTTATCTGTACCTCTCTAATGCCCTTGTCACTTTCAGGTATATAAAATGTGTTTAATTATTAGCTTGTCTCTCATTAGACTATACTTTTCTTTAGGCCATTGTCAATATTTTAAGGTTTTTCTAGATCCTTTATAGCAGTTAGTATAGCAACCTCACATATTGTAGATAATCAAAAAATTTTGTTTACTCAGTGTAAGAAAATATTTTAGGCCTGGTTAGCGTGGCTCAGTGGTTGAACATCAATCTATGAACCAGGAAGTCATACGCCTAGGTTATAGGCTTGATCCCTCAGCAGGGACCATGCAGAAAGCACCCAATCAATGATTCTCTCTCATTATTGATGTTTCTCTCTCTTTTCTTCCTTTCTCTAAAATCAATACAAATATATTTTTTAAAAATAAAAGAAAATATGTTTAGATTAGTAAAGCACTAAATTATTAACAAATTTTTAGAATGTGATTAACTTTCTTTGATATAGGCTAATTGTATTTATTGTGATTGATCGCTTGTGTATGCATATATCTATAAAATATATATATACATATATATATGTATATGTGTGTATATATATATATATATATATATATATATATATATAGCTCCTAGTAAAGCACATGCTTAATTAACCAGTAACATCATAGTAAGGATTGCTAAGAGATTTGTCCTGCCACAGTGGAAATTATAGCCCAAAATTGAGTTTTTGCTTTATAAATTAAATATGGGTGGATAGAAAAATTTAGTCGAGGTGGATGCAAACAGACTTCAGTTGATATGTTTAGACTACTGATATAATTACTCATAAAACATAGAGTATGACTAAAGGAGAAAATATGACTTAAGTGTGTTTATGTTATTAAAATAATGCTGATATCCAGTGTTATATTACTTTTATAATCAGATTTATATCAAGATAAATGACTTTCACTAAAATGGTATTTGAAATTAGTAGAACTGAGTAACCAGATGGAATGCTTTCTTGTCCTCAGTATGAATAATTAGACTCTACTCCTCAGTACATGAGGTATTCTTTCTTTTTTGCCCACAAGCATTACATAAAATTATTAATCATTTACATGGAACTGGCACAATATGAGATGTAATCACTACCTAGTAACAAATTAGCTTTGCATGGTAACATTAATCCTAACATTTTGACTTTTTATAATTGTTGAAATTATTGAAAAAGCTTGACATACATGTTAAAAGAGTTATAATATGTGCCGCTTTTTCACATTTATTTAAGTGAATGAAAAGAATACTCTACAGGAAGAAAATAAAAAGCTTTCTGAACAACTGCAGCAGAAAATTGAGTAAGTATATTTTCTAAATTGCACTAGAAAATTGAATAATTGAATATTTCTCCCAAATTTTCTTTAGCTATACAAACTGTAAAAATATATTAAGAGTTACAAATTTTGTTTTAAAAAATTAGAGTGTTTTGTAAAAAAAAATGTAAAGAAAATCACTATAATTTTGTTCATGTTTTGAGAATACATATGGAAAGTGTATACATCTCTTAGTGCAAGAAAGTATCAGAACATTTTTATTTAAAATGTTTTCATTTTAATTATTATAAATAATATATTATTAAAATACTTATATTTCAAATAAATATTTTAGTTTTGTTACTTTTCTTCCAGCCTTGTATTAGAAGCTTCATAAGAGCAAACTGAATAAATATTACACACTTCTCAGGCCACAAAAACTCTCTCTCTCTGATCTCTCCCTCTCCCACCATTTCTCTTAAAGAATAAAGGTAACTTATATCCTGTGTACCAGTTACTCTTTTTTTGTGTTTTTTATTTACTATTTCTATTGTTCATTATGATTCTTCAAGGTAGTTTTATTATCTCAACTTTATGGATGAAGAAATCAAAGCTCACAAAAGTCAAGTAACTTGTCCTGGTCTCACAGTTAGTAGGTTTTAACACCATCACTCAGACTCATATCTTTTATTTTTTTAATATATTTTATTGATTTTTTTACAGAGAGGAAGGAAAAAGGATAGAGAGTTAGAAACATTGATGAGAGAGAGACATCAATCAGCTGCCTCCTGCACACCCCTACCAGGGATGTGCCCGCAACCAATGTACATGCCCCTGACTGGCATCAAACCTTTCAGTTCGCAGGCTGACGCTCTATCCACTGAGCCAAACCGGTTTCAGCTACCTGATTAATCTTTACTGTAATTTAAACTTCAGCTTTTACATCTTTTCTAAAATATCAGTGAGCCTCACCAGGAAAAATATTTGAATTTGAGAACACTAAAAATAAATAATTCTAAATTTCTATCAAGCGAATGACATTATTTGGTTTCAATATACTTTATATATCTTGGTTGTTGAGGTAATCACCTAATTTCTATTAACCTCTATATAACATATTAATATTATCTTATTTATCTTCAGTATTCATAAGTATCAAGGTTGATGTGCTCAAAACATCATAACTTACCTTGCTAAATAACTTCCCATAACATAAATTAATATGGGTCAACAATCACTTATCTGAAATCTTTGGAAGCAGATGTGATTCAGAGTTCACATCTTATTTTTAATTACATGAAAGGTAATACAGATCATATAGAGATGATTATATAACACAGGGGAGCCTAAGGTATCATCCTGTAGCCAAGCACATTGATAATTTCACAGCAAACCATCGAATGCTCACATGAAATGGTGGGATAAATAAGAATTATAAATAGCATCCTGTCAGTTAAGGCAAGGTTAGGTTGTGGATAAAAACAAACAGCTTTTGGGTTTTAGAATCGTATGTAAAAGATTATGGATCTGTGTCCCAGGTTCGATTCCGGTCAAAGGGCATGTACCTTAGTTGCGGGCACAGGGCACATTCCCGGTAGGGGGTGTGCAGGAGGCAGCTGATAGATGTTTCTCTCTCATCGATGTTTCTAACTATCTCTCTCCCTTCCTCTCTGTAAAAAAAAATCAGTAAAATATATATTTTTTTAAAAAGATTAATCAGGTAGGTGAGCTCAGAGCAAGTATGCTTATGTAGGATATGCCTTAGAATAATGTAGGAGGTAATCTATTATCTTTTAATTCTCTTCTGAAATTTAAGATAGTTGTTATTTTCACAAGGCAACTTCTTTGTAGCTTGCTCTGTTTGAACAAATTTTCTTTGTGGTTAAAAGAAATAACAAGTATTATCTCATAAAGGCAACATGGTTTCCTCTGACTACCTAACGTAACATTATGCTATTAACGCCTGAAGTTCCCCTGAACTTTAGAAAAATTACTTGACCTATACTTTTGCTTGTGAAATGTAGTAATTCTAACTCACCTAAACTGATTTTGATATTACAGATACCTTATATGGTAGGACAGTTATTTAATGGCATTATAGTGAGAAGTTACTCAGTAACAGTTTGTCATTAGAAAGTTTAAATATATTTATTTCAACTCTACCAGTCACAGAAGGCAGATAATTAACTAAGGTAGGTATTGGGATCACCAGTGGTTGCCAACCTTTCAGACCTCACAGGCCACCAGTGGTCTGTGGACCACCAGTTGGCAACCACTGAGGGTCATGACTCTTTGTTTCCGGAAATGGATGTACTGGTTCAGTGAAAGTCAAAGGAGTCAATATTTAAGTGTATACACTAAAGACTGTAGGATTCACGTCATTCACTGTTCTCTTCTAGGTGGACAGAGTTAAAAAATAAACTTTTTGTTTCATTTTGTTTTTTAAGATGAGCTATACTGCCCTCTTCTAAATTGAATTCCTTGTATGACTTCTTTATCATAATTGTTTGAATATCTTTAGTACAAGTTCAGTCTCCCAAGCCTATTTAATTTCAGTGAGATGAAATTATTAGAAAGTTCTTCCTGAATTTGTGTAGAAATCACTCTACTTACATATAAGTTATATTTGTCAATACTGATTTTTGCCTTCTGGGACTATCTGGAACAAGTTATCCCCTCTTCTACATGGTAGTCCTTTGTGTACATGAAGACAACTATCATGGCCCTCCTGAGTCCTTTTCTTTTTTAATTTATCTTTATTGTTTTGTGTAGGGTTTTTTTTTTTTTTAAATATATCTTTATTGGCCAAACCGGTTTGGCTCAGTGGATAGAGTGTCGGGTCCCAGGTTCAATTCTGGTCAGGGGCATGTACCTAGGTTGCGGGCACATCCCTAATTGGCAGTGTGCAGGAGGCAGCTGAATCGGTGTTTCTCTCTCATCAATGTTTTTAACACTCTATCCCTCTCCCTTCCTCTCTATAAAAAAAATCAATAATATATATATCTTTACTGAATTTGGAGAGGAAGGGAGAGGGGAAGAGATATAGAAACATCAATGATGAGAATCATTGATCCACTGCCTCGTGCATGCCCCCTACTGGAGGTCTGTGGAGAGCGGCTACAGCGTTTGGACAGGTTCAAGCTTTCGACTAATGAGAGGGCACATGGAAGTTGTTTTGGTTTCTTTCCCCCACCCCCTTTTTTTTTATGACAAAGATGAACAAAGGCAGCACTTGTTTATTTAGTTTGGACATCTCTAGTTAGAGCTAGTTTTCAATTGTGGTTTGTTTTTTTCTTCTTTTGTGATCCCAACTAATTCTAGATTGGCTCTGCCAGGAAGTCAATTTCTTCTTATGACTTATTCATGTTTCAGGTTGAATTTTTATGACTAATAGGCAGGTAGGTTGTGATGTGATTAGTTAAAGTGAGGTCAGATAAATTTCACACTCCATTAATTTATAAGCCTTTCTCATGACCAGCTTACTCTGTTTTTCCAGAATAAGACAGTTAATTTTGTAGGGAGAGATTAAAAATAAGATAGTAGCTCTAAATAGTTCTAAAATCTTCAATAAAAAATATAGGATTATAGACCACAGTAATATTGATATGATCCAGGAAATTAAGATATAAATAAATGTTAGAAAATATTAATCTTTATCTTCTAATTTTTTTAAATCTCTTTTGATCATACAATAATAAGAAAAGTTTATAAAATTTTCTTATTATTGTATGTTTAGAGGCATTACAAATTGATATGACTGTAGTAGCATATCACGTAAAGACTCAGTGCCTGTTATACTGGTAGGAAAAAGTCAGTAATGATTTGACATAGGAAAGTCATTTGAGTTAAAGTTAATTATCTTTACTCAAGAATTATAATTTAATTCAAATCCAATCTTTAGGTGCTATATGCCTAGATCAGCACAAATTTATTTTTCTAGTGGGATCTGGGAATCTCTCATACTCATCATTTACTCACTAAATATTTATTGAGTACCTACTATTATGCCTGTTCTTGTGGACACATGATATATTGGTGAATCAAAGGTCCTTATCTCTTGTTTACATTCTAGCAGGTAAACAATAGGTAAGTCCATTATATACTATGTTAGAAAGCAGTAAATACTTCTGAATAACAAAAAATTAGTACTAAGGCATAGGAAGAAGAATTGCAATTTCAAATAGTGTGTTCAAGATAGGCCTTAATGGGAAAGTAAAACTCCAGCAAAGACTTGAAGGAGATGAGGTAATTAGCCATGTGATGTATGTGCATTCCAAGCAAATGGACCAGTTAAAGAACCTAAGGTAGGAGTTTGCCTGGTGTGTTATAATGAAAGCAGGTCAGGGGATATAGGCAAGGGGAACAGTCAGATCATATTGAACCTTATAAATCATTAAAAGGACTTTGGTATTTTGTGTTAAAGGGAAGGTGTGGCAAGTTTTAATCAGGGGAGTGACATAATGAGTTTTAATAGGTCTGTTCTGACTAATTTTTGAGACTAGACTATAAGGGCACCTGAATAAAAGCAGTGCCAGAAACTCAAAGGCAGAATCCTACAGTCAGTCATTTGTCTCTTGGTCTACACTAAGGATAACACATTGAATGGTTATCAATATTATCCTGGGAGTCTGGCTGCTGGGATTTAGACCCTGGTTCTGTTATTTACTATTTTAGTAAGTGACTTAACTTCAGTAACTTCCATTTCCTCATTTGTAAAATGAGACTGTTAGTAATAACTTCATACTCTGAACAGTGTCTGGCAGTGTAGACCTACAAGAATGTTGGTAATTAATATTATTTATCACCATATTTTTGTCAGTTGCCAAGTCATGTTGATTCTACTACCACAATTTTAGCACTTGTCCCTTCCTTTCCATAGCTATTTTCAATATCCTAGTTCAAACCTACAGAAGGTCTTGGCTGGACTATTGTAGCCCTGACCTATTTGATTTCCTTGCCTCTTTTCTTTCTGTCCCATTCTTGCACTCTGCTACTGGATCGTCACATTACTTCCATGCTCTAAAACCTTAATTCCTTTCCTCTTGCTTTCTAAATTACATGCACACTTAATTAAGACCATCCTTCACATAGTTCCGGTGTGTCCTTCTCCAACATCAGTATACAATACTGCAGGCCTTTACTCAAACTCTGAGCATTCTCTGCTGATTTTCTCTGCCATTGGAAATTCTTTTAATTTCACTTCAAGTGGCAGCAACTACACTTTGTACATTTCTTCTCACAATATTCCCCACTCTAAAAATTTGAATCCTTATATTTAGATTTTGAACTTTAGATATAAGGAATTATATGTCTTAAGTTTCACACCTGTGTCTTTCTCTAGCTCCATACCATATGGTAGTTGTTTTAATAAATATTCATTGAATTAATGTTCTTTGAATTGTCATTATTTTCCTCTAGGAATGATCAACAGCATCAAGCAGCTGAGCTTGAATCTGAGGAAAATGTTATTCCAGATTCACCGATAACAGCCTTTTCATTTTCTGGCATTAATCGGCTTCGAAGAAGAGAGAACCTCCATGTCCGATACATAGAACAAACACATACTAACCCGGAGCTCTCTGTGTGTACAAATGGTAAGGATTTAGAGTTACACTTCAATTACTTGGTTTGGAAAAAATAGTATCCATCTATTGTTTTTGTGTTATGCAATTTTATGGAAGGTAAATAGTCATTGTTCAGGTAAACTTGTTATACCTGTTAATTTAACTTCCACTAATGAAGTGACTGGAAAGGCATTTTCTACCTGTATTATATATAGACATGTATTGTTCTTCTGAAAATGTAAATACCCAGCATTTCATAAACATTGTTAATAGTTTCTTGTTTTCTTTTTATTTAAAAAACATTTTTATGTGTATATATCTAAGTGAGATAACAGGAAAGAGGAAAGGAACTTAACACTAATTTTTACCTACTGTGTGCTGAGTGATTTGAATACAGTATTACTATATTTGAATTCTCATGTAGCTATTAGAGCCTACATTTTATAGATGAAAAAATACTCTTTAGAAGGATTAAATAACTCACTCAGGGTCACCTCTCAAGTAGATGAGTCAGAATTCAAATACAGATCTTACTAACTTAAACTTTTGTATTTTCCAGATCTTGCCCATAGCTATAACATATTGAGAATCCTATCTTTAACTGGCTATTCTCACTTATTATAATCTAAAGCAATTGGTGGTAATAAAGAATAGCATTATAATATATCACTTTGTGGCTTACCATGTTGTTAAATGCTTTGGGAATACCCTTTCATGTAATCCTGAAATGTATTATGTGACATGATACAAAGATTATTTCTTTAAGTATTGATCTAAAGTATATGGTAAACTTTAATTTTTAACCTAAATTATTTGTGACATATTTTATAATTCAAATAAATGTTAAGAGTAGCTATGCCTTTGAAAAAATAAGTAAATCTTTTTCTTTGATATTGGAAAATTGGCATAATTTTCATCATTTTACATGACCTTACATCACCATCTAGTGGAAAACAAAAGAACTGTTAAAAATCTTACACATAATTAAGAGCTAAAATAAAATATAAGATCACAGATGTAGAATGAACATGCATTGGCCTTTTAGTCTGTTATCAGACAAGAGTCAGTACAGATAAATATCTGCATAATTATGTCATGTTTAAATCCATGTATAAGAATATTCAGAAAAACAAATTCACAGCAATTTTCTCTATTAGGAAAGTCCTCTTTTGTATCACAAAAGCTCCTGTCTTGTTTCTTTATTATATAAGAATAACAAACTGTTTAAAAACTTGATTTGTCTATTTTAATTTCATACTAACCATTTTTACTTGTAATCTGAAATTTGGGGTTAAAATGCAAGATAACTTTTGAGCCATGCAAATTATATTAAAATTGACTTAATGACTACTTAATTGACTTAATGACTCTTTCTAACCATCTTTGCTTATTTATTTTAAAGTTTATACTGCTTTGTAAAATTATTTATTTGAGAGAGCAAGAGAGAGAAATACCCATTTGTTGATGCATTAATTGGTTGATTCTTGTATGTGCCCTGATCAGGAACGAACCTGCAACCTTGGCATACTGGGATGACACAAACCAACTGAGATACCCAGCCAGGGCAGTTTATATGCTTTTTAATATTATTTTCAGGTTATAATTAGTAAAAGTCTATTTCCCTTTACTTTTTGGTTGTTTGTTTTTCCTTTGAATTATTCTGACAAAGTGTGTTTCAGGATTTTCTTTCAGAAAATAAAAACTAAAACAAAGATTGTGGAGATCTGGGATGCAGTATTTATTTTAAACTGACCTGATTTACAACAAATACATAAGGAAATGATACATTAAAATATTACCATTTTAGGAGACTTGGATCAAAGAAGCATTTCTGCTCTAGTTCTCTCTCCCACTGCCCTCTAACTACTGCTGATCTCTAACTTCCAGCTTTGTTTTAGGGAAATTGTAGAATGAACTCTTTATTAGAATATAAAAGTTGTATTTATTAAATAGCACTTCTAATATAGGTAAAGATAGGTTTGTATTGGCTTATCAGTATAGCATTTTGATAATATTTTCCATTGTGATGATTTATACATAATCTTTCCTTTTTTCCCTTTAGAATTGAGAAAAGTTCCAAAATCTACAACTCATCTACAACATAAGCCTAATGAAAATGAAAATGAAATTCTAGTGGCTGACACTTGTGATCAAAGTCAATATCCAGTGGCTAGTAAGCAAAATATTGCAATTACTTTATTAGTTTAAAATTTGTGTTTGCTGGTGGGCAAGAGTGGCCAACAGTCTGCATTAGACAATATTTTAACATTTTTTAAAATTAATTTTGTTTGTATTACTAGGTCTTTAGCAGTTGTTTTTTATATTAGAAAGTAATGTTATTCTATTATTAAATCATATTAGTAGCTCTACTCATTTTAATACGAAGTACTATTATATTTTAAGTAAACAAAGCTTTACTCTAGCTTACTCATTTAGTGTTTACTATATGCCAGGCACTGAACAAAACAAAGCCCTTATCCTCACTGAGCTTACAATCTAATTGGGGAGAGGAATAAAATAAACAAATATAGGGTGTCTCAAAAAATGTACACATACACTTTGAATAATTATAAAGGCAGTGTTTATTAAAATACATTTCATTTTCAAAATGGAGCCGTCAGCTGTTAAAGTGTGTATACGTTTTTAGGGGACACTGTGTATATGTTAGGCTTTCTAATACCTCTTTTCAGCAGGGTAAGAAGAGATATGGGAAAGCTTCACTTTAAAAGTGAATATGAACAGAGACCGAGGAAAGCAAGTAATCATGTAGGGGTTTGGGGGAAGGGTATTCCAGGTAGAGAAGTCGGGGAGCACAAAGACTGTGAAGTGAGGGTGCTGTTTGGTTGGTTTGAAGAACCTTAAGGAGATCTGTGTGACTGGGGCAAACTGAGTGAAGGGGAGATTGGTTTGGGCAATTCTGTTAACTGAAAGGGAAGCAGCAGCAGGTTTGCAGAAGTGGGGTGGGGCGGTAGAAATCAGGAGCTTGGTTTTGAGAGTATTCTGTTTGAGATACATCGTAGACATTCAAATAAAGATTTTAGATGAATTTAGAGAAGACTAGGATAGAGGATTGGAAGTTGTTAGCATGTAGGTGGTATTGAAGCCAAGAGAGTGGGCGAGATTACCAACCAAGTGAATGTAGATAGAGGAGTCCAAGTACTTAGCCCTGAGGCACTACATAGTGTAAAATAGTGAATCTCAAGTTTGTGTTTTCTCTTTAAAAAAAAAAAAAAAAACACGTTTTTATTGATTTCAGAGAAGAAAGGAGAGGGAAGAAGAGAGGAAGGGAGAGAGGGAGGAGGAGAGGGAGAGGGAGGGGGAGAGGGAGAAGGAAAGGGAAAGGGAGAGGGAGAGGGAGGGAGAGGGAGAGGGGGGAGAGAAACACCAACATTGAGTGAGAATTCATGATCAGCTGCCTTCTGCACACCCCCACTGGGGATGGAGCCCACAACCCGGGCGTGTGCCCTTTACCGGAATCAAACCTGGAACCTTTAGTCCACAGGCTGGCGCTCTATCCACTGAGCCAAACTGGCTAGGGCTCGAGTTTTTTTCATTATCACCCCTACACCAGCCTTTTTAGATATTTTTTCCCTCTAATCATTTCCCCTATGAAAATTTAATAGTTCAGCTGTAATATATGAATGTATGTATATCTGTGTGTTACACATAAAAAATTTTTTTCTAATCTCCCCCCCCTCCCCCAAGCCATTTTCACCCCCTTGGAGGGGATATTGCAACTGTAGAGGTGGTGATTTAGAGGTTGTTGAAATGAGGAGGAACCAACAAAGTAGCCATTGAAGTAGCTAATAGTGATATAGAGCTAAGAAAGTGTGTCCCATAAGCCAGGTGGAGAGAGGGGGAGAAGTCAACTGTGGTAAACAATGCTAATAAGTGAAGGAAGGTGAAGACTGAGAATTGCGCATTGGATTTGGCCACATGGAGATCACTTAGTGATAAACTCATAGCATGAACTAGTATTAAAGTGTAAGTAAGGGTTATCAACTATGCTGTTTCAAGTTCAAGAGAAACCAGTATCAGAGAAAAGTGGAAAGAGCACTTCTAAACAAGTCCTTCAAAAGATGGGGATTAAAAAATATTCAGTATATTTTGATGTTGATGGAATGATCAAGTAAAGAGAGAAATGAATAATTCTGGAGAAAGAGGGAACAACTGCTAGATCCTTGAAAAGCTGGGTGGAGATGGGATCCAGAGACCATTTGGAAGGGTTAGCCAACGTTAATCATAATTTATTAGTATAAAATTTACACTCTGAAAGCCACAGGTACTTTACATTAGCATGTGTGTATGTTTGTGTGCAAGCATGTGTGCACATGTGTAGACAGGACTGCCTAGCAAAGGGTGCTGGGATAGAGCATCAAGTGTGCGGGTCCTTTCTCCTCTGCACTCTAGACCCATCCTCTTCTGCTGAGGGGGACTTGACTCCATCAGTTGTTCTCTTTTCCTGTATCTCCTCCAGCTTCTCTGCAGGTTCTTTCTTTTCAATATATGCATACATGTTATCTTTTCTCTTTTAGAAATAACTCCTCTTGTCTCCATCCTTAGGCACAGCGTCTCAAAGCTGAAAAAATGATCTTTCAATATCTCTTCTCTCTCAGTTCACTTCAGTTGAACCCGCTATCCATTCCCCACTTATACCCCGAGAGTGGGGGAGCAATGAGGGAAAGTAGTATGGGAAAGGGGTGAAGGAGGAAAAGAAGAGGGAGAGAGGAGGGGCAGAGAAGGAGAATATAGTCTCCCACTCTCTTCTCACACATTTCATTGGAACTGCTCTGGCAAAAGTCATCTGTGACCTCCTGGTTAAATCTAATTACTAGAAATACTTCCCAGTCCTTGTCTTACTTGACCTTTCTGTAACAGTGAGTATTCTCTGTTTCTTGAAGTGGTGCCACTTCCTGGTTCTCTTCTTATTGTTTTTTTTTTTTTTTTTTTTTTGCCTTCCTTTATTGGCTGTTCTTTCTTTTAAATGTTACTCTCCCCAATAGATATGGTTCTTGATTTATTTTTGTCTCACTTTCTGGATGAATCTCACCTAGAGTTAATATTCTGCTACAACCTATATGCTAATAAATCCCAAATCAATATCACTATTCAAGACTTTCCTCCTTATTTCCAAACCAGTGTATTTACCTATTATAGAGCATCTCTACCTAGAATATCCTTCAACTTCAGCATGTCCAAAATTGAAAATTTTCTGTCAAACCTACTCCTCATCCTTTTATTTACAACCTCAGCAAATGACATTCTACATACCTCTCTGAGTTAACTAAATAAAAAAAACTGAGTTATCCTAGACACCTGCTTTTTTTATCTCTCATATCTTAATACTCTCGGAATCTTATTGATTCCACCACTTACATATCTGCCATAAACATTCTTCTGTACCCCCATTGTACTAGGTTAGGCCAATCAGCATCCCTCATACGATTGTTTTAGTAATTGAACCAGTCCTCTTACCTGTTAAGACTGCTTCTTGCTCTATCATCCTATCATGGCTAGAATTACTTTTTAAACCCAAATATTGCATCTGTCCTCCATTAAAAACCTTTAACTGTCTCTTCATTGTCTATAGTATAAATTTTAAACTCTTGAGCATAATCTGATCCTGTTTGGGTTCATGTCCTACTACTACTACATCTTTTGCACTTTAATTTTCAGCAGTTGAACCACATGTCATATTCCCTGAATGTGTGATTTTGTCTCACATATATAGACCCTTACACATGCATAAAACTCTTTTCTCTGCTCCTAATCCAGTTGACCTGTCAAATTCCTCTTTCTCTCAAGGGTCAGCTTAGGCATCACTTAATGTAGCTTTTTTTTATTTTCCAAGGCAGATTTAAGAGTCTTTAGGTTTATATCTCCCCTTTTTAATGTGTTTTATTACAGTTTATCACATTTTATTGCAGTTCTCTTTTTACCTTTCTATGGCCCATAAGTTTCTTGAGGACAAAAGTCTTTTTATCTAGCACCTAACACAACACCTGGAACATAGTATGTGCTCCATAAATACTTACTGAATTATTGGAACTCAGTGTGTATAAAATATTTGTATATGTGTTTTAGATGCTATCTTTTTGTGTAATTTTTTTTTTATTGATTTCAGAGAGGAAGGGAGAGGGAGAGAGAGAGAGAGATAAGAACCATCAGTGATGAGAGAGAATCATCCATCGGCCACCTCTGCATGAGCCACACTAGGGATTGAGCCCAAAACTCGGGCATGTGCCCTGATCAGGAAATCAAACAGTGACTTCCTGCTTCATAGGTTGATGCTCAAGTTGAGCCACGCCTGCTGGGCTGTATATAATATTTGAACATAGATGATTTCTGCAGGAATATGTATTAGTTTAAAACTTGAAAATTGTGCAGTATTGAAAATCTCTCCCATAAAGTATATTTTTATGAAAGGAATTATAAATATGGTTTGATATTCATAGTATATCTTAGGTCACAGTGCACCCATTATAAATACATATTGTTTTTATGATATTACTCAGTTGCAATAAGAAAAATAATCTATTTGTTGCATCCAATTCACAAGATAAATAGCAAATTTAGCTGAAAATGTTTGGCAGATACAGATGTTAGATATTTGCAACTTATTGCCATTTATAGTAGATATATTTGGGCCTTTTTGCACAGAATATTAAAAATCGTTCAGTGCCATCTTGTAAAATGGTTCTGTGAGCCTTTTATTCCTCTTTTAAAATTTTTTTAATCCTCTAGGATATGTTTATTAATTTGAGAGATAGAGAGAAACATTAATGCGAGAGAGAAACTTCAGTTGGTTGCCTTCTGCACATGCCCCAACCAGGAAGCAAACCTGCTACCTTTTTGGTAAATGAGACAATGCCCCAACCAATTAAGTCACCTGGCCAGGGCTTTTTCTGTGTTTTTTTATACATCTAGTTTCTACAATTATATAATTGGGTTTGTTGTTTTTTTTACTTAGAAACACGTGGAACAAGCAGTTATACCACTGATAAGTCATCTTTTAATTTAGCTACAATAGTTACCGAGACACTTGGACTTAGTGTTCCAGAAGAATCCGTAAGTAGATGTTTAGTTTGGTAATCACATGAATTAATTGGTGTCTTTTTAGGTCAGTTTTTAGAGAATTGAGCAAGAAAAAAAAAAAGAAAGAAAGAAAAAACACCCACTTTTTTCCCCAAAGACTATTGGATAAAGGCATAGAACAAAATTGATGTGGCTAGAAAGGCTCATTTATATTATCTGCCCCAAGCTGTTCCAGAAATCCAGAGTCTTTAGGATTTTGGGGATATAGATTGTGAATTGAGTCAAAATTTAGGGAAATGATAATGGCTTAGAGGGTTTGGCTATCCTCTTCCTTGCACTCAGTCTTCCCTTTATTCCTACCCTGTTTCATCTAAGAGAAGGCCTGAGCATTTAGATTTATTTCAGAATTTATTGGATTTTCTGAACCTCCTTTAAACTGGGGTTTGATTTGAAAAACAGAATGAATTTTTGGGACTACCATATATATTTTAGTTCTCTGTACTTATAAGTGCCAATTCCAATTAGTTGGAATTTAGTATGTTCACAATATTATGCAACTATCACTTCTCTCTGATTCCAAAGTATTATTATCATCATCCTAAAAGAAAGCCAGTTAAAGATTTAGTCCTTGTTCCCCAATACTCATTACCTCTGGCATCCACCAATCTGCTTTCTGTCCTTACAAATTCACCTAATCTGGGTAATTCATGTAAATAGAATTTTACATGATGTGACTTTTGAGCCAGGCTTCTTTCATTTACCCTATTTTTGAGGTTCAGCCATATTGTAGCCTATATTTATATTTCATCCTTTTTAAGAAAAAATATTTCATTTTATTTATGTACTTTATATATTACTATTGAAGGAATCTCACAGTCCCATGAGTCCTCTTGGTGATGAGCTCTACCACTCTCTGGAAGGAGATCACAAGAAACAACCTTTAGAGGAAGCTACAAGAAATAATAAAGATAGTTTAAGGTAATTGGGGCACTTTGGTGAAAGTTTATAAACTATTGGTGAAATTCTAGTATAATGAGTTCCATATAATTAAACTATTTCTCTCCCTCAGCATATAGTATGTTATTCTGATTGAATTAATTTTTATTTTAAAAATATTTTCTCTAGTTTATGACCATTTGAGGACTTTTTTGCTTTACTCTAGTGAAACAGATATTTTTAGATTCTTTCTGTACTTCTATTAAGCAGTACATAAGAGTTCCCAGCCTTGTTACTCTGCCCCTTTAAAAACCCAGTCATCCCTTCTGGGTTTGCATTCCCAAAAACGATATTGTATAATGCTTGGGTGAAACTGTATAAAGATAGTGTTGTATCTTGCTTTTACTAATTTCAGAACAACCATCCTTCCTAACTAAAAAGTGATGTGCAAATTGACCATACCTCCGCTACACCCACAAGCCACGCCCACCAGCCAATCAGGAGCACATATGCAAATAAACCCAACCAAGATGGCTGCAGCCACAGAGAGCAGGAGGGAGGCTTGGGTTTCCCCGGCGATAGAGGAAGCCAAGCTTTCCGCCTGCCCTTGCCAGCCTAAAACTCCACTCAAGGCTACAAAGTTTCAATTATAGAAGATAAATAAATCCCAACAGAAATGGCTGCCACCACTGAGTAAGCAGAAGGCTTGGCTCCACTTCAGACTACAAAGTTTCAGTTGTACAAGATAAATCCCAGATATGAGGGCCTCTGCTTGGGTCACCAGGGGGCATGGCCAGCCTGCAAACCACCACAGGCCCCTCTCTCAGGTCAACCCCACACCCCAAGGGAACTCCCACCCTAATCCAGGACACTCTTCAGGACAAATCAGCTGGCCCCCACCCATGCATCAGGCCTCTATTCTATCTAATATGCAGATTAACCATCACTCCGACACACAAGATGGCTTCCCCCATGTGGTCAAAAATGGGTGCCCCCATCTGGACACAAGATGGCCACCACAAGATGGCTAGCAGGGGAGGGCAGTTGGGAGGGACCAAACCTGCAAGGGAGGGCAGTTGTGGGCTATCAGGCCAGCAGGGCGGGCAGTTGGGAGGGACCAGGCCTGCAAGAGAGGGCACTTGGGGGCAATCAAGCCTGCAGGGGAGGGCAGTTAGGGGTGGCCAAGCCGGCAGAGGAGGGAAGTTGGGGGAAACGGCCTGCAGGGAAGGGCAGTTGGGAGGGACCCAGGCCTGCAGGGGAGAGCAGTTGTGGGGACCAGGCCAGTAGGGAAGGGCAGTTAGGGGCAAACAGGCTGGCAGGGGAGTAGTTAGGCATCAATCAGCTGGCAGGCAGAAATGGTTAGGGGCAATCAGGAAGGCAGGCAACAGAGCAGTTGGGAGCCAACAGTCCTGGATTTGATCAGGCCTAAATGGGCAGTCGGACATCCCTCGAGGGGTCCCAGATTGAAGAGGGTGCAGGCTGGGCTTAGGGATAACCCATCCTCAGTGCACAAATTTCGTGCACTGGGCATCTAGTTAATATATAATACCTATATCTATGTAGCATTTTGCTTTTTAAAAGCTTTCAGTTTTAGGTAGATATATCACATTTAACTTGTTATCATAGTAACTCATTAAAGTAGTATTTTGTTGATTGTAAAATATTACCACTGTATTTTATAATTGACAAAAATGTGCTCCAAGAGGTTAAAAGTCTTGTTTGAGGCTACATAGCTATTCAATACTAGAGGCAGAGCTTTACCCAACCAATGTCTCTCTACTACCAAAGCTGTCTGCTCTGCTAGAGGCAAACTGGGTTTTTGTTATTAATCCTCACTCGAGGATATTTTTCCATTGATTTTTCCCCTCCGTTGATTTTTAGAGAGAGTGGAAGGAAGAGGGAGAGACATATTGATTGTTCGCCTCCCTTATGCACTCAAGCCTGCAACTGAAATATGTGCCCTGGAACCGAACCCAGAACCTTTCAGTCTGTGGGCAGATGCTTTATCTACTGAGCCAAACCAGCTGGATCTTAATTCATGTTCAGTTCTGTAGTATAAGAATTATGTTTCTTAGAGTTACTCATGACAAGATTTCATAACAACAGAAGTTGGGTCCCCAGTGGAATTTGTTAAAATATGATTTTTTTTAAATATAGTGATTTAAATTATTTAGGAAAAATATTTGTAGGTAGGAATATCATGGAATTGATATAGGATTATATTATTTTCCTCTGCTTTTTGTCAGCTAAAGGAAAAGCAGCTAGTGAAGCATCTACCTCTAATATGTAGATAAAACCTTATTAATAATTAGTATATGTTTTTTCATCATGCTATCTTTTAATTTTTACCTGATTTCTTTATCTTCTTAGATTTTCAGATCCTAATTCAAAGACTCCTCCTCAAGAAAAACTGACTACTCGAGCATCATCTCCTGTGTTTGGAGCTACCTCTAATGTGAAAAGTAGTTTTGTTTTGAATACAAGTTTGTCCCCTTCTCTTTTGGAGACTGGGAAAAAATGCCATCTGAAAACAGCACTTTTTAGCAGTACTTCCAATTCTAGATCAGAGAAAACTAGATCAAAATCTGAAGACAGTTCCCTTTTCACACATCCTAATTTTGGATCCGAAGGGAACAAGATTATTAGCCAATCTTCTGATAAACAGATGCTTATAAATAAAAATGTAAGTGAATCCATAAGTGAACAGAATATTGATCATATTAAAAATGCTATTACTGATAAACATGTGGTGGCCCAGAAATCATTGGGATGCAAAACATCCAAAAGGAAGAAAATTGAGGAAGAAAGTGAAGATGAAGTAAGCTGCCCCCAAACCTCTTTTGATAAAGAAAATGCTTTTCCTTTTCCACTGGATGGTCATTCTTCTGTAAATGGAGACTATGTGATGGATAAACCTCTGGATCTCTCCGATCGGTTTTCAGCTATTCAGTGTCCAGAGAAGAGCCAAGGAAGTGAGACCTCTAAAGTCAGATTTAGACAAGCGACTCTCTATGAGGCTTTGAAGCCCATTTCAAAGGGTTCTTCCTCCAGCCGAAAGGTTTCGAGTGGGAGCTTTGTGCCGGCCAAAGATCCTCCAGAGGAGCCCCGCTTACAGGAGTGTGTCCTCCAGCCCCTGATCAGATCCTCTCCAGATAACAAAACACCATTACAAGTAAAAGAAGAAAATCCTATCTTTAAAATCCCTCTACATCCACGTGAAAGTTTGGAAACAGAGAATCTCTTTGATGATGTGAAGGTTTGTGTTACATATTTATGGATTTTGATTTTAAATGGTTGGTTGTGATTTCACCTAGATGCAAATGATTCTTTCTGTTTTAGGGTACTGGTTCTCATGAACCAGTAAGAACAAAAACCAGGTCAGTTCCTGGAGCATGTGAACTTGCATCAGTTCTTCAGTTGAATCCATGTAGAATCGCTAAAACAAAGCCTCTACAAAACAATCAAGGTATATACACTATAGGTAGTACTTCCACTCTTTATATATATTGGTATATTACTTAAGATAATAAATATATTCTTTTGATAGATTGAATTGTTCTGGGAGAAAATATTTCTACATGTTTCTATATTTAGAGAATAATTCTCTTTGGTTTCATTTTACATGTGATTTATCCTCATGCTTTTAGAAAAGTGAATTGAGATCTTTAATACCTACTTTTATAGGTGATTTTGTGGAGTTATCTATTCTATGTAGTTCTTTTTTTTAAGTTTTTATTTTTTGAATTTGAGAGAAAGAGAGAGAAAAAAAAACAGAGATTTGTTATTCTACTTATTTGTATATTCATTGGTTGCTTCTTGTATGTGTCCTGACAGAGATGGAACACACAACCTTGGTGTATCATGATGATACTCTAACCAACCGAGCTACCTGGCCAGGGCTGTAGTTATTTCTTATTTTCTTTACAAAGGCTTTCAAAAAAAAAAAAAAAAAAGTACACAGAATTCTAAAATATATAAAGTAGAATTTTCATCATCCAAAACTTATTTCTCACCTCATAGGTTTTTTTTCTTTGTGTTTACATGTATATCTATAAACATATATTTACATGTTTTTCGGATTCTTATTTTAAAACATTGTCTGCTGTAATATCTATATCATTCTTTTCATAAGTCTGCTCTATTTAAAATGAGTCTTTGGTTTTTTTAGCAACCAAGTATTTCTGAACTTCATATGCAGTATTTTCTCTTTTATTCTTTAGAAAGTTATTCCTTAATTCTAGGTTTATTTTCCCTTTTTTCCTGAAGCACATTCTATTTTTCTTTTTCTTTTTTTTTTATTTCAGAGACAGGAGAGGGAGAGAGAGAGAGAAACATCAATGATGAGAGATAAGGTCAGCTGCCTCCTGAAAGTCCTCTACCAGGGATCGAGCCCCCAACCCAGGCATGTATCTTGATCAGGAATCAAACCAGCAACCTTTTGGTGCACATTCATAAAATTTATAAAATTCGTAAAATTTACTGGTTTTTATATACACACAGGTTTAAACATTATTACAACCTATGTATAGAACATTTTTCATGATCCCAAAGTGAACAGAAAGAACAGTATCCATTAGCAATCATTCTTTATTCCCTACTCCTCTTGCTCATTCCTACGCAATCAATAATATATTTTCTATCTCTGTAGCTTTGCCTTTTCTGGAGTTTTTATGTAATGAAATTATATAATATTTTGTGATATTTTTCATTTTATTTTTTATTATGAATAATGCTGCTATGAGCATTGATGTAGTTTAGTGTAGATATATGTTGTTATATATATATATATATATACACACACACACACACACACTAGTAGAATTGTTGGGTCATAGGCTAACTCTTTTTTTTTTTTTTTTTTGAATATATTTTTATTGATTTTGTACAGAGAGATGGGAGAGAGATAGAGAGTTAGAAACATCGATGAGAGAGAGTCATCGATCAGCTGCCTCTTGCACACCCCCTACTGGGGATATGCCCGCAACCAAGGTACATGCCCTTGACCAGAATCGAACCCGGGACCTTTCAGTCCCCAAGCTGACGCTCTATCCATTGAGCCAAACCGGTTTCGGCTAGGCTAACTCTTTTTAACCTTCTGAGAAACTAGGTAACTTTTCCAAAGCAACTACATCATTTCACATTCCCACAAGCAGAATGTGAGGGTTTCAGTTTTTCCACATCCTTACCAACACTTGTTACTATGTCTTTCTGGTGGGATGTAAAATGGTGTCTCTTTGGGGTTTTGATTTGCATTTCCCAGATGGCTAATGATGTTGAACATCTTTTCATGTGCTTATTGGCCATTTGTATATCTTCTTTCAAAGACTGTCTATTAAAATCCTTTGCTCATTTTCAATTGGGGTATTTGTCTTATTATTGAGTTGTAAGAGTTCTTTATATATCATAGACACAAGTCCTTTACCAAAACTTCTCTTCATTCTGTGCATCCTATAATGTTTTAAAGTAATGACAATTTTTTTTAAAATCTGTTCTTAATTGTATTTTTTTTCCTCCTTATCTAAGATGTATTCTTTGAAAATATCCAATGGAGTATAGATCCAGGAGCAGACCTTTCTCAATATAAAATGGATATTACTGTAATAGATACAAAGGTAAGTTAGAAGATGCTTGTGTTGTATATCAAAGCTAAAATATTTTATAGGCAATAAAATATGAATCTATATTTCTAAAAGGTAAAAGTAAATATAACTTAATGCTACTAAATGTACACTTAAAATTGTTAAATTAATGTTTTATATATATTTTACCAGAATGTTTTTTTAAGTAAACATAATATAAATGGATAATTGTTAAAATTTTGTATTTTTAAATATTCAGGATGGCAGTCAATCAAGATTAGCAGGAGAGACAGTGGACACAGACTGTACGTTGGTCAGTGAAACTATGCTTTCAAAGATGAAGAAGCAAGAGCAGAGGGGAGAAAAAAGTCCAAGTAAGATATGACTTATTTTCTTATTTTAATAAAAATATGGAGGGAAATACCATTGCATTGATGAGCACAAGTGATCTCTTCACCATGAACGAAATATTTTTTCCCTATTCTGATGTTAGATTTCTCTTAGTAAAGCTCAGAAAACCTATTTGAAAAAATAATGATAGAAAGTTCCCCTACCAGGTGAAGGAAATAGACATATAAGTCCAGGAAGCACAGAGAATCCCAAATAAGAGGAACACAAAGAGGCCCACAATAAGTCACATCATAATGAAAATGACAAAGAGAGAAACTTAAAAGCAGCAAGAGAAAAGCAGTTAGTTACCTGCAAGGGAGGAAGCACTCATATGACTCTCAGCTGGTTTTGCAACAGAAACTTTGCAGGCCAGAAGTTAGTGGCAAGAAATATTCAAAGTTATGAAAAGCATGGACCTACAACCAAGATTATTTTCCCTAGCAAAACTATCATTTAGAATTGAAGGTCAGATAAAGAGCTCCCCAGACAAGAAAAAGCTAAAGCAGTTCACTTATCACCACCAAACCAGTACTGCATGAAATGTTAAAGGGTCTTCTTTAAGAAGAAAAAAAAAGATCAAGAATAGGAACAATAAAATTGCAATAAATACATATCAACAATTGAATCCAAAAATCAAAATAAATGAACAAGCAGAATAGGAACAAACTCATAGATACAGAGAACATTTTGATGCTTGCCAGATGGGAAGAGGTGTTGGGAGATGGGTGAAAAAGGTGAAGGAATTTAAAAGTACAAATTAGTCATGGCAATGGATACAGAAAATAGGTAAAGGCCTGGGGTGGGAGATGAGTAGAGGGAAATAAATGGGGAACATCTGTAATACTCTCAACGATAAATTTAAAAATAAATAAATAATAAGTAAAAGGTATAAAAGGGAACCTTGTAAGTCCTGTTTTAGAAATACAATTTTCCAGAGCAGTTTCATAAGGCAAAAACAGGGGATCCTACTGAAAAGTATTAGTATAGATTCGCAAATCAGCAGTAAATCTTCATCCAAAAGAGGTGGGAACAGAAGGATTTTGCTTGGCACCACCTTAGCAACATTTCTAACTAAAGCAGCATATGACATGAGATCAACTAGACTAGGATTAGTTTCATTTGTCACCCATTTGAATGGAAGGTGTAGGACCTGCTACTTGGGGATTCGGTGCCCGAAAAGGCATTTACCAGCCCTCATCTGTTGGAAACTGAGGACGTTCAGACTGTATTTGCATTCTCAATCTGCTGAATATTCTGTGGTCTACCAGCTCAGCCAAATAATAAAACAGCTATTCTTATTCTCACTTCTTCAGAGACACCTTTTTTCTTGCTGCCCTACATGCAGTAAATGAGAGAAAATTTTAATACTTTGCCTTATATCTTTGTCCCTTAAAAATGAATAATGATTTATATTGATCAAATAGCCAGCTGCGTAAGTTGTGAGAGGATGGTACCTATTAAAAACCTTGGCAGTGGTTACTTTTTTTTTTATAGTGAATGACACAAGTAATTTTCTTCTTAAAAAGATACTTTACTTTTAAGATTATTTTGTTCACAAAATCTATTTTATCCAGAAATTTGCCTCTCAAAATGAAAAGTAAATAAGTGTCTAATCATCCTATATAATAAAAGCCTAATATGCTAAGTATCCGGTTGTCCATTCAACCAATCAAAGCGTAATATGCTAACGATATGCTAAGACTGCTCAACTGTTTGCTATGATGTGCACTGACCACCAGGAAGCAGTCGACCAGTTGTTATGATGTGCACTGACCACTAGGGGCAACACTCTGGTAGGTTAGCTTGCTGTTGGGGTCCAACAAATCAGGACTGAGCGAAACTGGCCGAACACACCCTGGAGCCCTCCAGCAGTCCCTTCCCAGTGGCCAACCTCCTGCATCCCTCCCCAAGGGGTCCCAGACTGTGAAAGGGTGCAGGCTGGGCTGAGGTGTCACACCCCACCCCTTTATCCCCGTGCATGAATGTCATGCATGGGCCCTCTAGTTTAGTATATAACAAGCTGCAATCTAATAGGGAACAAACAAGCAAGTAAATATATGGTATGATAGATGATTAATTTGTTCACAATACCAGCCCTGATAATGTTATTTTTATAGGAAAAGAAAAACTAAAGTGTGACTACTTTGGCTTCAAATTTATCTAGTTGATTCAAAGAATGTAATGGTTCCCCAATATTGTATAGAAGTGAGATTAGAACTTCAGCTAATGACATTAATTTTGGCTAAATAGGTCTTGCATATACCAATGATGCATAATAAATTAATCTAATAACTTAAAAGATTAAAATAACATGTTGTCTTATCTTTCACAGTTTCTATGGCAAAGAAATTCAGGAAGGGCTTGGCTGAATTGTTCTATCTCACAGTCTGTCATGCAGCTGTAGGCAGATGATGGCTAAAGATAGAAGAGCCAAATTGTAGACAAATGGAGGTGACTTGGCATCTCTCCTCATTCAAGTCTTAGAGTTTCTTCATATGATCTTTCCACAAGGGCTAGTCTGAGCTTTCTCATCACATGGAGATTAGGTTCCCAGATTGAGAATCCCATAAGAGCAAGGTAGAAATAAAAGGTAATTTTTATGATCTGGCTTCAGAAATTGCATAATGTCACAAAGACCTGCCTAGGTCCAAAGCAAGAGAAACGTGGCCCTCACTGCTCAGTGGAAGGAGTGTCGAGATCACTTTGTAAGAACAGCACATGGGATAGGAGATATTGCTGAGGCCCTATTGGAGGGGGGGGGGGGGATTTTTTCTGCCTATTTTACCCATAAGATAAATCTTTTAAAACTTAGAAATGGTTAAAATTTAACACTCCAATAAAAACTCTAAATTGCTGCTAATGTTTCAACCCACAGAATGTTTTTTTGTACCCCCTACTCTGTGTTAGGACTTACAGGGACAATGATAGAAAGATCAATAGGATATAGTCTCTGTACTCAAGTATTTCACAGCAGAAGTCAACAACTTACTGTGATTTACTAACTGCCTATACAGAATGCTTTGGGAATGTCTAGCACACTGCCTACACATAAAAGTCTATATTATCCAGAAATTTGACTCTCAAAATGAAAAATAAATGTCTAATCATTTAGTATATAATAAGCTGCAATTTTACACCCAGGAAGTGTTCCAGGAACTGGAGACAATTAGTAAACAAAACAGAACAAAAGTACTAATTGAGAACAAAAAATAAATATATGGTATGATTGATGACCGTTAGTGCTGGAGAAAGATAAAATATGGTATGGGTGCAGCTAGAGCACCATGGATTGAGAAAGATGGTAGTTATTTTATAGAGAAATCTCAGTAGGCTTCTGTTCTGTCATATTTGTTAGCCAACTGGATCTATTTCTTTTTTTTAGTAAATTTTGGTGAATTTAAAAATGTGGTTCTATGGTGGGAAATGCAGTTAGTACTCTGAAGATGAATTTAGCATTTTGCATGTCAAATATGAAATTGAATTAAGTATATCAACACTATCAACTGTTAATGGTAATGCAAGAAAATACATATTTTTTGCTGCCACATTAGAAAAACAAGCAGGTAAACAAAATTCTATGTTTTATTGTATATTTTTAAGTATGTTTTTATTGATTTCAAAGAGAAAGGGAGAGGGAGAGTTAGAAACATCGATCATGAGAGAGAATCATTGATTGGCTGCCTCCTGAACACCCCCTACTGGAGATTGAGCCCACAACTCAGGCATGTACCCTGACCAGGAATTGAACTATGACCTCCTGGCTCATAGGTCAATGCTCAACCACTGAGCCACGTTGGGCTCTATAGAGATTTTAATGTCAGCTATTTATACCCATTTTATTTAAGCAGTATTTTTTTATTATTCATTATGATATATTTTTTATTCCTCAGTTTCTTTAGTAGATCTCCTTTTGGTTTAGCATAAATTATACATGACCTGATAGGAAGAAAATTATTTTTAATGTTTGTAATGAAAATAATAAAAACTAGTATTCTCTTTACGTGAGTAAAGGATATTTGGAGCCATAACATAGAGGTTTTATAAATGTACAGTAATTATCTAGACTTGGGAGTTTATTCTTGCCTCATGCACATTAAAATTATTTTGTGGCAATTAGTCTATATAAAAAGCAAATGGTCTATATAGAAAGCAGAAAGCTTGCTTGTTGCCCTCAGTCAGTGTTCTTTTACATAGGTAGAGAAAGAAAAATGAATGATAGCTTGGAAGATATGTTTGATCGGACAACACATGAGGAATATGAGTCCTGTTTGGCAGATAGCTACCCCCAAGTAGCAGAAGAGGAGGAATTGTCAGCTACAACAAAGAAAACAAACAGTAAGGCTATTTTCTTTCTTATTATGGCTTCTCAGTTACACTGAGTTCAGTCTAATTAGTAGAGTATGGATGAAGTATATTTATTAATGTTTCATGTTGCTTGTATAAATTTCTTTTTCATAGGTTTTGTGTTTTCTTTCCAGACTAATAGAAAAGTTACAAGAATAGTTCAAAGGGTTCCCTGTACCTTTCACTCAGCTTCTCCTTGTTACCAGCTTATGTAATCATAAAACTCATCAGGATTTAGAAATTAATCTTGATTTGATACTACACATTTCTCTATAACATGTGCATAAAGTTTATAAAAGTTTTGAGAAAATTTTTAAGTAATTAATGATTGTAATAGAGTGAAAAGAGAAGGTTTTCTAGAAAATTCAGGCTTTTATCATGCTTGAATGCTTTACCTTTCCAGACAAAATACTTAATGTAAAAAAAAAAAAATTTATTATATATATATATATATATATATATATATATATATATGTTTTCTTAAACTATATTTTACTAGAAGCAATAGTTTATAATGTAGGATAGCAACCAAAGGAAGAACACTGTAAGTGAATCTCTAAAGTAGTTGGTCTAATTGAAAATTATGATTCCCAAATCTGCATGTCTAGTCTGACTTCTCTGATGAATCCCATCCTGCATTTTTATTGCTACTTTTGTATCTCCTCAACAGTTTAAATTTAACATATCTAAGCCAAGTTCCATTTATTTCTTACCAAGTGACCTTTCAGACGTTATATTTTTCCCAGTCACCCAGGACTTGTTGCTCATTTATTTTATTTTTTTGACTCTCCTATCAAAAAATTCTACTAAGTCTTCACTCATAGGAAAGATCAAGTTTGGGGTAGGGTACCAAAAGTTCAGTTCTGGACATGTTAAACTAGACATTCAAGTACAGGTGTTTAATAGGCAATTGATGATTCTTGAATTTGGACCCAAAAAATCCAGAATAAAGAAATTGTGGTGGGGGGAGGCGGGCAGGAGGTCAACAGCAAATAGATGGTGCCTAAAGCTGTGACACTGAATGAGATCATCAGAGTGTTGAATATAAATAGAAAAGAGAAGCATTTTGTACATCACCAGTTCGATTCCCAGTCAAGACACAAGCCCGGGTTGCAGGCTTGATCCTCAGTAGAGGGCATGCAAAAGGCAGCCAATCAATGATTCTCTCTCATCATTGGTATTTCTACCACTTCTCCCTTCCTCTCTAAAAGTCAATAAAAACTTTTTTTCTTAAAAAGCATTTCAAGTTCTGACCTCTGAGATATGGCAACTTTAAAAAGTCAGAGAAACAATCAGCAAAGAACACTAAGAAGGAGCTGCAGCCTGTGAAGTGTGAGGGGAAGCAGAGAGGATGCTGTTTTGGGGCCAACTAAAAAAGACGCTTCTGTATACTCCTTACGTCCGCCTCATCCCCAGATTTGAATCCAACTACTTATCTGTACTAATAAAAGAGTAGTATGGTAATTAGACCGGACATCTGCTGGGCGACCTTCCAGACCAAGCCATGGTAGCGGGGCCAAGGCAGAGGCAGTTAGGGGCTTCAGGCTGGCAGGGAAGAACTGTTCTCCCCTGCTGGCAATCCACTCAACCATGGTTCTGGGTGGCAGGCATTTTATCGTTTAGTTTAATTTTGAAATTGTTATGCTAGGCAACACTTTAGGTGTTTCCCTATGCCACCATCTTGGTTTCCCCACCCTGTAGTCTTTTTCTTTTCTTTTTTTTTTAGTGTCTTCTTTGTAGAGACTTTTATTAATACTTTCATAGATGCTTTTTTATCTCTTTAGTAGTAAATTTTTAAATATTTTTTAGTGATTTTTGAGAAGGGAGAGGAAACATCAATGATGATAGAGAATCTTCAACCAACTGATCCCACAACCCAGGCATGTGCCCTGACAGGGAATCAAACCATGACCACCTGATTCATAGGTCTTTGTCCAACCACTGAGCCACTGCAGCTGGGCTAGTAGTACTTATAAGGTGACATAATTTGCACTCTGCTTATCATGCAGATGAAAAAGAAAGGGAAAAATTCGTTAAGAAAATGAAGGTCTTAATACGTTTTTTTTCCCTCTCCCCCAAAAAGCTAATTATTTTAGTAATTCTGTATTCAGTTTGTGGTATGCTTCTTTTGTTTATAGCTCGTGGTGACAAACAAGATAAAGTCACACAGAAAGCATTTGTGGAGCCATATTTTAAAGATGATGAAAGGTAAGCTGGTCTTAATAAATGCTACCAATGTGATTGAAAGTATTAACAGGGCTTTCTTTGTCAGAACCTCTCTGAAACTGTAAAATTGCTACTTTGGTTAAAAAACAATGTTTCATTTAATTTATGGCCCTAACAAAACTGCAAATCAAGCTTTAAAAAAAATGACAAATTTTACAAATAAGGAACATTTTACCACCACTACACTTTCTTTACATTGGTGATAGTTATTTTCTCTTTTATTATAACAAATATATTTTCTTATGAAGTTTATTTGAACTTTGGAATTTTTTAATTGTATAGCTGTAATTTTTACACAGTGTAAGACTTTAGGTGGTAAACCTTAGGTTGTGCTTCAGAATTATTTTATAAGGTTTTTTCTTCCCAAGGTACTCCCATACCTTTTTAATCCATACCTCAGTGGCTTTGACCTAACTTCCTAGGTCTCCAGTGGTTCACAATAGGATGATTCATTTAATAACATAAATGACTAGAGGCCCAGTGCACAAAATTTGTGCGCGGAGGTGGGGGGCGAGGTTGTCCCTCAACCCAGCCTGCACCCTCTCCAATATGGGACCCCTTGAAGGATGTCGGACTGCTCATTTAGGCCCAATCCCATGGGATCGGGACTAAACGGGCAGTCGGACATCCCTCTCACCATCCAGGACTGCTGGCTCCCAACTGCTCGCCTGCCTGCCTTCCTGATTGCCCCCGTTTCTGCCTGCCAACCTAATCACTCCCTAGTCACTCCCATGCCAGCCTGATGGATGTCTAACTGCTCCCCTGCCAGCCCATTTGCCCCCAACTTCCCTCCTCTGCCAGCCTGGTCACCCCTAACTACCCTCCCCTGCTGCCATCTTGTGTCCACATAGGGGCAGGATCTTTGACCACATGGGGGCAGCCATATTGTGTGTTGGAGTGATGATCAATCTGCATATTACTCGTTTATTATTATAGATAGGATAGAGGCCTGGTGCATAGGTGGGGGCCAGCTGCTTTACCCTGAAGGGTATCCAGGATCAGGATGGGGGTACCCTTGGGGTGTGGGGTGGCCTGAGCAAAGGGCCTATGGTGGTTTGCAGGTCGGCCATGCCCCCCAGTGACAGAAGTATCTGGGATATATTTATTTTCTACAATTGAAACTTTGTAGCCTGGAGCAGAGCCAAGCCTCCTGCTTGCACTGCTTGCACTGTGGCAGCAGCCATTTGTTTACCTTCTATAATTAAAACTTTGTAGCCTTGAGTGGAGGCTTAGGCTGGCAAGGGCAGGTGGAAAGCTTGGCTTCCTCCATTGCCAGGAAACGCCCCCCCCCCCCTCTGGCTGTAGCCATCTTGGTTGGGTTTAATTGCATACTTGCTCTGATTGGCTGGTGGGCATTGCTTGAGGAGCAGAGTGATGTTTAATTTGCATATTACTCTTTTATTAGGTAAGATAATTTTGCCTAATCTTTTGAAGAATTTAGGGTGGATGGAAACAGCATAACAAACTTTTGCCCACCTACATAAGCACCTACGTCACTCACATGTAGCACATACATAGCAGTAAAGAAGTAAACAGTATAAAAGAAATTTAAAAGAAAGATAACAATCCTTGATCTTTACTTGTGGTAAGTAATAAAAAACATAAAGCAGCCCTAATCAGTTTTGCTCACTGGATAGAGCATCAGCCTGTGGACTGAAGGGTCCCAGGTTCAATTCCGGTCAAGGGCATATACTGTGGTTGCAGGCACATCTCCAGTAGGGGGTGTGCAGAAGGCAGCTGATCAATGTTTCTCTCTCAATGTTTCTAACTCTCCCTCTCCCTTCCTCTCTGTAAAAAAATAAAAATAAAAAAAATTTTTTTAAACATATAGCACATGTACATACATCAGAATGATGGAACTTTTTTTATATAATAAATGGGAGATGGCAGCGTAACCACAAAACGACATATGTCAAGTCCGAAGTAACCTGAGGACTGTCTGTAGATGAATCTGTTCTTTAGAAGGGAGTAGGCTAGCCCTGAAATATAGGTTCTTAGTACTAAAAAAAAACAACTTAACAGGCAGTATTCTCTCTCTTGGTTATGGTATTCCTTAGTTTAATAATACAGTATTCCTGTTAGCTTATTTAATCCTCACCTGAGGATGCTTTTTATTGATGAAGGGAAGGGGAGAAGAGGGGAGGGGAGGGGAGGGGAGGGGAGGGGAGGGGAGGGGAGCATTGATTGGTTGCCTCCCATATGCACCCTAACCGGGAATGGGAACCCAAAACTTAGGTAAATATTCTGGCCGGAAATTGAACCCATCGACCTTTTGGTATACGGGACGACACTCCAACCAACTGACCTACCCCCAACCAGGGAAGTATTTCTTTTTACTTAGGCTATTTTATATTTCATCTCCTAATCTATTATTTTCAACCAATCAGGGGCAAAAAAAAATGGGAATAGTTATCTTTTTCAGAGAAAAATAGCCACAAAAATACCTCACAAATAGTAGGCACTTTTTACTGAATAATGAGTGAAGAAGTATTTGGGTTTTTGACATACTGAATAAACATTTCAAATAAAATGAATAAATATTTATTTTGGGATTATTTCTTCCCCAGGGCTCTCACCTTTGTTCATTTGAAACCTAAAACAATGATCTTTGTAATAACAAATGGATGTTTAAACTTATTTTTCCCCCCAGAGAGACTACCTTACAAAATTTTCCTCATATTGAAGTGGTTCGGAAAAAAGAAGAGAGAAGAAAATTGCATGGACACACATGTAAGGAATGTGAAATTGTAAGTACTACTATAAACTGTTCAGTTGTTTTTTTTTTTAACAGTATGGCTTTAAAAATCATAAATGAATGATTTTTAAATCATAGATATAAATAACATTTGTATCTAGAAACCTAGTTTAAGCCAGGAATAACAGAGTACATAGGATATTGGTTGGAACCTAAGAGAAATAGATTAAAAAATGTATTATTTGTTCTAGGGAAAGAGAAAAATATCAATGAGAATTATTGATCATCTGCCTCCTGCACATCCCACACTGGCGATCAAGCCCTCAACCCAGGCATGTGCCCTGGTGGGGAATTGAACCATGACCTCCTGGTTCATAGGTCGATGCTCAACCACTGAGCCATGCCAGCTAGGCACTAGGTAGTGATTCTGGTCAAGGGCATGTACATTGGTTGCGGGCACATCCCCCGTGGGGGTGTGTAGGAGGCAGCTGGTCGATGTTTCTCTCTCATCGACGTTTCTGGCTCTCTATCCCTCTCTCCTCCTCTCTGTAAAAGATCAATAAAATATATATATTTTTTTTAAAAAGTACATTTTGAGGGGGGAATCATGAAGCCTTCAGCATTCAAAGTTAAACCTTTATTTTTAAAACTGTAGAGATAGGAAAATTACTTCAAAACCCAAACAACAATCTAGGAAATGCTATTCAAAAATGCAGGCCTCTCATTTCGGTTACCGGTCTGGCAAAGGGAAGAGAGTTTGCACCAATAAGTAAATCATCTGTGTCAATCAACACATTGTAAAGTTCAGCTGGTATTTCTTCCCATTGTAGACTTTACTGATGAAGGAGGCAATATGTTGATGTACACTGTAATACAAGCTTCTTATCTCATTTGTGAAGCAAATTTTCACATACCAGCAGTAATTACTGTTAGTAATTAATACTACAATCATCCGGTAGCATAGTTTTCTTAGCATGCCTAATACTTTAGTAAAAAAATTTCTTAGCTTCAAGTTTATAATCAGTAATCAAATCACCCCATTTACTATTCCTAAGTGGAAAACTTACCAGTTTCTATTTTTAGTATTATGCAGACATTCCAGCAGAAGAAAGAGAAAAGAAGTTGGCTTCCTGTTCAAGACACCGATTTCGCTACATTCCACCCAACACACCAGAGAATTTCTGGGAAGTTGGTTTTCCTTCCACTCAGACTTGTATGGAAAGAGGTGAGAGTATAGGTTATAACATTTCCAAATTAATTTTTTAATACATATATAGCCAAGTATAACCTTTTCTCTTTACCTTCGGTAACAGTTTTGTGACTTAAAAACAAATTCCTAAAGATAAAAGGCTTACCTTCAACTCTTAAGTAATTTCATTGGAATCAGAAATTGTTTATACTTTAGTGCAGCAGTCACCAACCAGTGGTCCGACCACTGGTGGTCCGTGATGTCCGAAAAGTTGGCAACCACTGCTTAGTATGATAGTTTATGCATTATCCTGATCTGTCATTCAGATTTCAGAAAGCAATTCCTGCTATCATCAAAACAACTTTTACTAAAATAATCTTATAAAAGATGCGATGTTTATCATTTTAAAGCCATTACTCTGAATTTTAGACTTTAAAATCTCACTTATCCAGAATAATGTTATTTTTAAACTATGTATGAGTAAAAATGACCTTGTTTGCTTGGGAAATTGTTGACATGCAACTAGCTTACTCAAAAATGGCATTTACATTAATACAAGTTGAGGATATATGCAATTTTAATGCTCTAGACATTTAATGGTAACATAGTTCTTACAAAAGATGCAGTCTTTGACAGTCATTACCATTATTTCTACTTTCCCCCTTAACAAGCCACATTAAGTCCTCTGTGACATGACCTCTCTGCTGGTCATCATTTAGAATCTCAACATTCTGAATGAGAGCCTCTTTGTGTGAAAGAAACATGTTGCTAATATAATCTTCTAAATTTGTAATTTGTTTTTAAGGTTATATTAAGGAAGATCTTGATCCTTTTCCTCGTCCAAAAAGACGGCAGCCCTATAATGCAATCTTTTCTTCGAAAGGCAAAGAGCAGAAGACATAGATATTAAAGCAAAAACATGATGGAGAACAATTTTTTCTTTCTAGTTATTTATAGCTAATGTTGGTATTAAAGTGATTTTTTTTAAATCTTCTGTAAACTGATTTATAAATCATTTTTCTATTAAAAATGTTTTTAAATGGCATTTACCCACCACACAACTACTTAAAATGTGGGGAAGTTTATATTGGTTTGTTTTTTTTGCTTTCGCACCTCTAAACAATAAGGTGCTTTAATTTTGCACTCTAAGTTAAGAGTTGTTTACTTTGTTTGGCATTACCCAATTACAGTTTTGAAAATATAATTGTCTGTGATTTGTTTTTCAGATCTTTTTGTTCCATTTTTCCGTGGTATTTACATTCAGCAGTGACTTCATGTTTATCATTACGAATCTTCATCCTCTTAATCATTGCTCTTCTCTTGCTCATTCCAATATCTAAATTTGAGTTTAAACATCTAAATTTTAATAGTCCTTTTAGTTTTAGCCAGTAGCTATGGCATGCACTTACCACCAGGGGGCAGACACTCAGTACAGGAGCTGCCAAACTGGTGACTTTGAAGCAGTTCCTCAGGTAATGCACCCCAGAATCAAAGAGGACGGTCAAAGAGGAAGGAGCCCGATTCAGGGTGTGTCACTCAAGAACCACCCTCTCATAATCTGGGACCCCTTGGGATATATCGGAGAGCCAGTTTCAGCTGGATCCCCACAGGCCAGGTGAGGGACCCCACCTGCCGGAGCAATCCTACTCACTCCACAGACGCCCTTAAAACTGCAGCGCTGCCCCAGGTATGGCCGGCCAGGAAAGAACTGTGGGAGGTTGGCTCCACAGCATGTCCGGCCCATCTCACCCAATACCACCCCGCCAGCCACCTTCTAATTAATTTCCTTTCAATGTGCACAAATCTATGCACCAGGTCATTAGTCCTATATAATAAAAGCCTAATATGCAAATTGTCCCCTTGGGCAGTCCTTCAACCAGGAGTTCAATCACTCGCTATGACATGCACTGACCAACAGAACATGGCAGGCGTTGGCAATGTGCTGCGACCTCTCATTGGCTACCTGGGGTGGGAGTGACAGGAACGAAGGTGCAATGAGAATGCAAGGTGTCTGCCAAGCTCACTATGACCCCCCTGCTACCCACCTGGGTTCATGCCCGGGGAAGCCCCCACACTCGGGCACCGGGTGAGCCAGGCCACAGCCACCAGGACCACAGGGGCCGGTAGGGCTCCCCATGGGTTCGAGCAGGAACTGCTCTGTGAGGCCAGCCAGGACTCGGCACGCTGTCTCTTGGCTTCTGTGCGGTGCTGCTGGGCAGCCCAGAAGCCCACGCTGTACTCAGGCCCATGTCGTCCAGCTGCACTCACCACATCTCCACGTGGGGACGCAGGTGCTATGACTCAGGCAGAGGGGGTGGGGGTTCAAGGGCCCAGGTGCTGCCCAGGGCCCAGAGGTTAGCTGGGACCTGCCCTTTCACACCAAACATTCACACTTCTATCACCAGCCAGGCCTAGGGACTACACCCATGCAGAAATTTCATGCACCTAGCCTCTAGTCTTACCTAATAATAGACAAGCATGTAAACTGACTGTATCTCCACTATGGCTACAGTCAATCAGAGTGAGTGTGCAAATTAGAAGGCCAAAGATGGCAGCCTCCCAGATGCTCCTGGCGCTGAATGGCCAGGCAGGTCAGGATGCCTGCTATGAGAGGGAGGGCAGGGGGCAAAGGGATATATAGGAGTGGAATGTCACAGTGAAGACAAGACTGGAGTCTGCAGCAAAGATGGCAGACTCTGGCAGGAGTCTGCAGCGAAGACGAAGATGGCAGACTCCAGCCAGAGTGAAGGCCTGAGTCCCGAGTGCTTGAGGAAAACCGGTGTGGGAAGTCAAGGGAAAAAAGGCCTATTGCATGAATCTATTCATGCAATGGGCCTCTAGTTGAAAAATAAAAATCATAGTGACAGAAATGAGCTGAGACAGGGCTGGCCTCATTTGGGCCTTAGCCACTTATCCTGGCCACTATTCCATACCTCATATCCTGCCTGCCTTTCACGTTAGGTCTTCCTCACTGCTCACTTCACACCTCAGGACGCTCCCCATCTCTCACCTCAAGTCCTCACCACTGCTCACCTCACACCTCAGGACCCAGCCACGCTATTCCCAGATCACTACTTGCCTCATGTCTGCCAGCTGCCTGCCTCATACCTAAAACATCCTTCGTGGCTCAAGTGGGCCAACTTTCTCTCCTTATGCCCACTCTGCTCCCTTCAAGTTAAATGCACCTCTCACATCAATTCCCACTCTGCCACACACATCATTGCAGGCTTACTGCTTCAGGTGCACAGCAAGGCCAATCCACTAACTTTCAGCCCTAACTCTAGCCTCAAGTCCAACCATGCCACTCTACTCCCACTCAGGAAAAGGCCCTACTGCTAGTTTTATCTATGATTGCTGTTTGCCTCAAGTCCCCACACCATTTATGATATAACTAAAGACCCCATGCACAGATTTTTGCACTGGTGGAGGGGCATGGCCGGGGGGAAATGGCCCGCTGTGGGAGCACCGCTCATCCCGGTCAGCCAAGTGGCACTCCAAGTGTGTGAGCACACTGATCACCAGGGGGCTGCTTCTGCATTAAGCATCTGCCCCCTGGTAATCAGTGTGCATCATAGCAACTGGTCAACCAGTCATTCTGGTCATTCCGCCGTTGGGTCGCTGAGCTTTTATTATATAGGATAAACATTTTTTTTTTTCTAATGACCTGAGGAGACATGTTTATCTTACAGAATTTACCTACAGATTTGGGCCTAATACTATACGTTCTATTCTGTTCCATTAATTCATCTATTTGGAAGTAGTACATTCCCAAATCCTGACCAGAGGAGGTGATCACAAAAAGTGGTCCTACCAGAAACTGGAGGACTCATCCCAGGAAACCAGTCTTAAGGAAGTGCTGACTTGAGAACAGCCTGGAGAAAGTGCTCACCGACTCCAGCTGGCTGCAGGGCACCCCACATGCTGCCTCTCACATGCTGCTTAGAACAGGTTGGGAAAATCACATCCAGTCTTTCCTCGCCTTTTCCCTCAGAACACCTTCTGCTCATCAGTACTTGGTGGAGCCAGGAAGAAAAAAATGGCTCCAGGTCTCGCTTTCCCTGTTTACACAGGTACCAGCTGCCCATCAGATGCTGGGCTGGAGTCAGGATAATTTGCTGCAAGGTCTCTACTGGTTCATGACCCTTGGCCTCTTTCCTCAGATCCTCTTGCTCATCACATCCTAAGGCAGGGATGGAAAATTCAGCCCCAGATAATTCTCCTTTTGCCAGGCAACCCCTTTAACCACACAATAAGGATAGAGAATTCCTGTCCGCCTACCCCAAAAACCACTGTGCTCTTCACACCCGGCTTAAGCAGGGAGGGAGAATTTGCCTGGACTCTCCTTGCCTGTTTACCCATGACCCCTTCAAAAGCTGTGTGGAGAGGGAATCAATAATTCGTCTCCAGTTCTCTCCTCATCTCTTAGCCAGGAACCCACTCTGCCCCTCACATACTTGACTCAAGCCAGAATGGAATTTTACCCACAGGTCTACTGCGTCCTTCTCCAGACACCCCTCTTCTCAATAGCTGGATGGAGCCAGGATAGAAAATCCGCCTCCAGCCCTCTCATCCCTTACCTGAGGACTCCCAAAGCAACGCACATAGCAGACAATAGATACGTGGGTCCTAAGAAAGAAGATACCTCCTATGAAGGGCTCCTGGTAGATAAATGGGCTCAAATTTTTTAGAAAAAAATTTAGAAAAACTTCCTGGCTTTCTGGTACATTAACTCACCTTGTACCTTCTCTCACCCAAACCTCTATCAATTCTTCTCCAGAGATTACCTTCTTTTACTGGAAAATATTAGGAATCAAGAACTGTCTAATTCTCTGGCATACTGGAGAAATCATTCTTACGTGTAATCTTCATTTGTCATTTACTTGCCATCCTTCTTTCCCGATGTTTTGAGGTATCTAGGAAAGATCACATGTTGGGCCTTTCTGAATACCATGTTTTTAATAAGGCTGTTATATTTATTTGGGTATGCCATTAGCTCAAGAATATTGTGGGAGAGGGGCTGGGCCCAGTAAATTACAGCTTTTTTTTTTTTAATATGTTTACATTTATTCCACACCACATTTCAAAAAGTATATGAGATGCCTTAAAATGTATAATAAAGAGACTGCAAGTAACTTTTTATATAATGCAAAGAAAATTAAAGATCAAAGATAGGTTATGTTGCCTGATATATATGCCTAGCCTGTTAACCGGGAAATTCCCTTTTTAATTACACAACATATAACAGGTGTGTACTCTTTCACTAGGACGTGTCAGTACGTCACGCCCGGAGGACATAATTTCATATTACTTTTTTTATTTATTCTTAAATGAAAAGGCTATGAAATATATATTGTTTTCATTTACTTATATATAAAGCACAAAGGGAAATACAAAATTACAAATAGAAAAGAATACCAACAAAAAAATGGAAACATCGAATTAAAAAAATTATAAATTTTACAAACAATTATAAAGATTACAAAAAATATATATTTATTTTGATACACAACAAAAAATATAAAAAGTTACCAATTACAGAATAAACAAAAGCACACAAATAGAAATATTGAGTTAAAAAATTAAAATATAGATGTGAAAATCCAAAACTCAACTTCCGTGTGATATTAAAACAATTGTTAACACATAGTGTACCTCACAATCCGGACACCAGTATGTAGATTCTTTCCTAACACCTTTTTTGTAACCAACTCGGCATTTCCTGAATTTAGTTTTTCCTATATCGCTTTTCATTTGTTCTGGAAAATGCCTTTCAACTAAGCATGATGGTTTAGATGTAGAGCTGCTTGTTGATGTCTTTGGGTGGGTTTTCACTATGTTGTTATCTACCAATTTCTCTACACACTATCAAAAAGTGTAATCGATCCAAATGACCTTTATCTTTT